TTTCTTTGTCAATTTGCATCGGGTAATTTTTCTCTGACTTACAATAACTTTAAATAAAAACATTATTAACCGTAAAGACTTCTTTTAAAAACATCAAAATTCACTATTGCATATATTTTTTACTTTCCATTAACATTGTGTCAACAAATTTAAATTTAAATAAAATTTGTTTAAAGCTGATGCCTACCCACTATAATTTTGCTAGATTGTATGAATTTCACATTTAAATTCCTTTTTATGTTATATATTTGATAGATTGCTTATTATGTAACCCTTTTTAAATTTCAAAACTGAAACTAATATACAAAATGTATGCTGTACTTGTGCAAAGCTTCTACTACTACAGCTAAAGCTTCTACTTCTTCTTCTAGCTTCTTCTTCTTCTTCTTCTACTTCTAAAGCTTCTTCTTCTTGGAATACTACCAAAAAGTTCTATGTTCCTTTAAATGAAACTTATATTTTTATAATTATACTACGCGACTTTATTTTTGTAAAAAACTACAAAGTTTTATTTAAATGAATAAAACGCGTGAAAATCTTAGATCTCATTCTATTTATGTTCCTGCCGACAAATAATAGCAAAGTGTACGATACTCGGAGATCCTATTTTAATAATGATATTTTATTCACTTTAGAATTACATATTAAAAGTGCAAAATAGCATTGAACTTTTGAATGTTACTTGTTTAGTATGTATTATATATTTATTTTGTTTAAAGATAAACAGACATTTTTAATTCTGTATATTTGTAAAAAAGTTATTTTTATTACCTTATTATTTAACTTTGAACTTGAAACAAAATAACTCTTCTTTTGTGAATGGAAATAATAATATATTAGTTATTGTACATTAAATTAACAACTATTATTATATATTACTAAGGAACTTTTGGTTGGCTCTATCCATCAATATTCTTGTGTCATTCAATGGTATACACATGTCATATTATATCGTATTTAATGACTATAGTCTGTTTTAAAGTCCACCCTTTCTTAATATAGAATAAAGATTACTAAAAGAGTAAAAAGGGTGTTTAAATGTCTTTGTCATATTAGAGGACTTTATACTTGTAATGATATCACCATTTCTAGGCCAAGCGTCATGTAGAAGGACTACGGTCTGCTAGAAAAAGCTTCGATAACACTGTAATGGTCGATGGTTTTATGACTATTCCTCGTGGAAAATATAGTATAATTTTGTTTTAAGTAACATCTATTGGGCACTAACTACAAAATAATTCAGTAAATTACTTTCTATCAACACATGGTTCTAGATAAGAGATATAGATATTTTTTTAAGAAAATCAATTTTCTGATTTCCTGACAGAATGTGTATAGTTCCTTTAAGGGTTTGTAATATCTTAATAACTTTTAAAACATAGTAATTAAAAACTATTCATAGATGCTTTTAAGCTGGAAGGTTTGTCTTAGATTTTTTACGTTATATTTGAGTCGTGATAAAGAACCTGTACATCATATATATATTTACGTGTTTGTCAGCAAACAAAAGGTGAAGGATAACTTGTTAAAAATGTTGTGAATCTTAAAACTCTGTAGTGTTTGCTGTTTGTTAACCGTCTAATGGTTGGACGTTTTTGTAAAACTTTATTTCATCGCTCATTTTGACGTCGGTTGCGTTTATATTCGAAAAATAACCAGGATTTTTATTTTGGAATACATCGTTCATTCAAAATAATATGACTCATCTGTTATGACTTCACGAGGTCTAGCCACAGGTAGAGATCAGAGTGTTATATATATTTATATATTAGACGAAAATCTACCTTTTTATATCTTCTTCTACGTGGCAATTTCCCAGCTCTAGCCAGGGTCTGCCTTACATGTTGTGAATAGTTTTGTCTAATTGTTTTTACGACAAGCCGCCTGCCTGACTTCAACCCTCTTTGGGAATGCATTAATCAGTGATGTCTAAATAATCGTAGAATGTACATATGACTCGAAAAAATCATATTGGTACTTGCCAGGATCGAACCCGCGCCTTCATGCATGAGAGGCGGGCCTTTTAAGTTTTAACCACTAGTCCACCACTGACATCCTTTAAAAATTGGCCTTTTTATATATATCAGATAAACATATTCGACTCAACAATTTAGCAAAATATATGAATATACTTACAGTTATTTCATTAAATAAATATTTCTTTAGGTATTAAATTGAATGAAACCTCTCAACCAATTGTTTTAATTGCACTAATTTCAAGCCTTAACTACCTGGTTAAGGCTTGAAATTTAAATGAAATTTACCTAAATTAATTGATATCATCGTATTTAAGAATAATGCTTTAAGATCCAGTTAAAAGAAATCGTATCAGAGTAGGTAGAAGCGTTTTGAGGAAACATATATTCGTATAAAAAGCTCACCTCGTTTTTGTATAATTGTTGATGTTTTTTCTTTTTTTAATTATTCAGTTTAATTTAGTGAATTTTAACCCTTTTCTCACTATATGAATAACTCAAATAAGACTATTCTTATTCAGCCTGTTTCTGTGTAGGAGTCTTTGGAAACAATTCATATATAATGTATCTAAACCATCTAATGTATGAATAATGTAACTACACCAACATTTAGTTCGTAGTAGAACATGATAATTAAATATTAAAATACACTAGTCTTTTCATTTGGGAATAAAATTACGGAACAACATCAAAAAAGTTTCGCTATTTTGATTTTCTAAATCTAGGTGGAATAAAATTCAAGCTAGAACTTATTTATAAAATAGCATATTTTTTTGTTAGTAGCTTAAATAAATTGATAACTTTGTGATATATTACGAATATAACCAAGTAACGTGATGTGAGTTGAGTTAGTTGACTCACATCTCGTCTGTACGTGATCACGGTTGCTGTAAAGTAGCCGAAACGTCATGAGTATGTCGTTAATAGTCAAAAATAAAATATCTCGTAGTAAATCCGAAAATATTAGTTTCATTTAAATGAGTACTCGCGAAAATCTTAGATCTTATTAAATTATCTTGAGTTTACTCTGTTGTTTTGGTAAACCTTGTATCGCTTACATACGTACTAACAGAAATATTTGACAAATCAGGCAGCTTTCTGAAGTTAATGTCACTAGTCCTACATATTATGTCTCTGAAGGATCCCGATTTTTATTTATAGTATTATACGTAATAATGTTATCAACACTAAAATAATAACAATATTTTCCGAAGTGAATCATCTTAACATTTTTGTTATTGACGCTAAATCATTTTTGTTACTGAAGATAAATCTTTATAAAAAATGATTTTACCTTCATCTTAAGGCAGGCCATAAATTAAAAACAATGTCGGAAATCAATAACATTATTAAAAAACACGTAATAATTTCCGAGTCAAAAATAATAATGGAATTCTTAATGTTTTAAGGAGGTGGTAGGATTTTTTAATTATGGTATAGGTAACGGTTATTATATAAATATTAAATTATGATACTTTTTAGTCGTCACCTTACATCTATTTACAATAAAAGTGATTTATGTGTATCTGCCATATTCATACTAACACATTTAACAAACTCCTTTGTGTTTTCTCCACACAGTATTCAAGATTATAATTCGCCCAACACATAAAAGACTTGGCCAAATATACCACTATTTAGTCCAACAAATAAAAATGTTTTCATTGGTCAAATATTCAAAGATTCCAGTGCGAATGAAGCCATAATTTAAAAGAAACTAACACATGCTTTCGAATTCTCTCATCTCCAAAAAAGAACCTATTGCGCAATCCTTGTAATGATACATAAAGTGTAATCTAATAGCGTATGTTCATAGCAAATATTGGAAAACAATAAAAAAAAACATCGTATAATATTTCTATACTTATTAGTATTTCGATGAAAAAAAAAATTACAAAGATCGATTCCAATAATAACAGTGATGCAAGGTTGTTTGAGATGATTATATAATGATCTTGCGGTTTTTACGCTCATCCATCCATATCAATTTAAATCCGGCTTATTCACTATTATTCAATTAATATACCCGGCAATTAGACATTAATTCACATAGTCTTTAAACACCAAATTTCTGTCTCACATGTTATGAAAAACATTCTCTGCATACGATGAATATTAATGAATTTCATCATAAAAATATGAGATGGTAATAAAATTCTATTATGTGGTTGGAGATTTAAATAATTACTATGAGATTTAATTGGGTTATTCCCTTCATTAAGTCTCCTCACGTAAGGAATCCATGATTTAATCTTCCTCTGTTTGTGACCAGCCTTAGCATGCTGTGAAATAAATCATTCTATATTCTAAGCCCTTCATGCGAAACAGATTTATGTCGCAGATAGAATTTATAAGGATGTAAACCTGGATGTAATTACATAGGATTGTAAATACAATTTATTCTTGAACGACCATTGGCTCGCCAGTTTGCTTTTAACAAATACATTTTGGTTTATATAAATTGTAATAAATAAAACATCGAATTTTTAATTACCTCACTACTTCATCGTCTTTTTATCATTTTTCTACAATTACCTCAAACTATACAAATATTAAGACGTAATAAGCAAATACAAAAAATATTTACCGATAGTTTTTTTACGTCCAAAAAAACTTCATATATATTTTTTTATTTATTGTATTTAATGTATAACAAAAATGTGTTATTTTACAATATCAACGTTCTCTTGCGCAAAATATCATATTACATTTTATATTTATTTTATTGGACTGTCATTTTGTTACCGAGAAGTGTGTTATTACATGTTAATTAGGAAATTAAATATAGGAAAATATCAAATAAAACTCCATATAAAATACAAATGTTTACTTCTAGATGAAGCTCTCTCAATACATTTATTCATTCAAAGTCAGTCGCTTCGCTATTCTTATCCTAAATAATGCAGATTGGAATCACATTAATTAAGTCCCACCAGGCACGTACTTATTGATGTTCGTTAATAAATTACTTGCTAAACTCAAAAGTCTATTGGTATCACTTAAACGAAATATCTCCACATTTTTCTATTTCTTTTTATACCTGAAACATTGTATATTAATTGGTTAATAAGAATATGTGACTAAAGAATATTATTAAATGAAAGAGAAATAAAAAATTCAATTTAACTTTTAATTGGTCATACTTTGAAGGTTGGAAATTTATATTTGTGTTTTGTATCGATAGTATGTCATAATGTATGTACTTGAATTTTAATTTGTATGAGTAATATTTGAATGATTAAACTGCTAGCATCTTAAAGGTCTAATAGGTTAAGCTATTTCTATGTATATATCTCTAAGTACTCACTGATATGAATTTGCATGAGCCGTGGCTGTTGCTGTGGCAGTGGCAGTCGCGTGGGAATTCGATCCACCTCCGTAGTTTCCACCACATCCGCCGTTGCAGCCACCGTGACCCGGCTGGATATAACCTCCGTCGTAGCCACCGCCGTTGTAGCCACCATTGTAGCCACCTCCATAGCCGCCGCCGCCGCCGCCACCACCGCCACCGCCACCACCACCACCACCACCTCCGCCGTAGCCACCGCCGTAGCCACCACCAAATCCGCCGCCGTATCCCCCTCCATATCCTCCTCCTTGACCACCATAATTTCCAACCCCGTGGTGTCCATGACCTGTGACGTAAAATTATTATTATGACACAACAGATAACATCTAATCTAATCTAATATTTTATTTGCAATTTTAACATCTATAACATTTAAACAAATCCTTACCGCGTTCTTTAACCACTTTAACAATGATGGTTTTCGATGGTTCTTGATATCCGCCGTGACCGCCGTACCCTCCGTCATATCCTCGACCGCCATAGCCTCCCTCGTAGCCACCACCTCCTCCATAGCCACCACCTCCTCCGTAGCCGAAACCACCGCCGAAAGATATCCCCCCGCCTCCCAGACCTAGTAGCTTATGCAAATGACGTTTCTCTCGCTTCAAGTTACCGGTTCTCTTTTGATCTTCTAATTTCTGCAACAACAAAGAATATATTACACAAAACTGGATATGATAATATCTATATCCACTTTAGCATGAAATTTTTGTTAGGAATTTAATGTTTCTACAATAAACGTTGATAAAAAAATATAAAAGAGCCCAACCTGAACATAAACTACGCTGGGTTTCGAGTAATCTCCCAAAGACTTCGCTTGAGGTTCCAGAGACCTCGGTGGCGGATTCCTTTGAGCTAGCAGCACTAAGACGGGGAACTGACGAGCACGCTCCGTTATATGAGTCCTTGAATCTCTCGGCGGAGCCAGGACCGGGGCGTAGAGTACAACCCGTTCACCCCCTTCGATATCATTGTCGTTCACTGATGCGCAGGCGCACGCGACGAGCGCTAACACGCCCACCACACTTCGGAGTCCCATCGTGTTTACTGCAGGATACGACCCGCCAACCTATTTATATATCAGTTTTTCCGGCGCTGTACGTCACTGTCTGCTCTATAGAATGATTCTCACGATGACGTAATCACTGCTAGTCTGCTATTGATTGTATTGTGATGTTATCGACGTCATGGTTTCATGTCAAACACGAGCCACCTGAATAGCAATGTTTATTGTCCAGTTTGAGACCCGTAAGTTGTACTCTTAAACCGGATAATTCTTTACCATCTTGTTTGGACGCTAGAAGTTTTTTGTCTTTTGTAACATCGTTATAAAATTCCGTTTAGCCGAAGCGGTTGTACAAGTTCGCATTTGTTTGTTTTCTGTTAAATTTATCGTATTATATTTTATAAGTGACATACAGATGTTTCGTTAAATTTTTGCAGTAATACAATGTATGTGTGATGAAATATATTTCTTTCATTGTTTAAATGCTTGGGTATTTTTTAGTTCTAATGAGATGAGGTGAGTTATAAACCGGTTTGTTTATAAAATTGTATAAGAAAATACCCGCTAAGTAACTTATAAGTTACTAGGATTTAATTACTAGACAATCAAATTGCACAGTTGAATATATGTTTCATTTGATGCTAGCCGTTCTATGATTACATACATACGGACAGTGATCAATGGTTATATTATTTGAGTAATTATTTTTAAGACGAATAAAAAATACCGTTATTGTTTTTATACAATATTAACTAAATAACTTTTGATGGCATTTAATTCATTTTGTGTTCGTGGTTTACATGTACATAGTTTAGATTTCTTCTACTCGTATTCTGAACTTATGATTTCTGACCAATGAAAAAAAATCGTGGCAGGAATGGAATAGTAATTAAAACCGTTCAAAACATAAAAGTATGAAAAAAAACGGTAAATTTGAAGAGACATATGAAAACCTTTGTTTGTCTTACAGATATTTATTTCTACGAAAATAAAATTGATAATAAAATTGTTCCCATCCCTATATCCTTTTGTTTACATTCTCATATGAAGTGTATCTTAAAAATAATATGAACCAATCCAAGTAGACAAGAAAGAGGGTAAATAATTTATACTATACTTATATTGTATTACACCAGAAGACAATTGTGGAGTGTTAGTATGAATATCGGTAACGTATTATTTATATCCCATTTTGCGGTTACATGCTAGCAGTATATTTTGTAACCTGACACGAGAAGGCATTTAGGAACATAAGACTTGCTTTGACTTGCCTTTAATATGAATAAAAATAATGTCATGTTTAATATCTTACATGTGTACATTCATTCCCAAAAAGGGTTGATGTCAGGCAGGCGGCCGGTCGTAAAAACAATTAGCCAAAACTATTCGCAACATGTAAGGCAGACCCTGACTAAAGTTGGGAAATTGACAGGAAGAAGAAGATCTGTGATAATAATGATGGTTTGTTATTTTTTAACACGTTTTTTAAGTGACAGGTCAAATGAATACGTATATTTAATTATTGTTGTTAAAGGAACTTTTATGAACAGAATTATAGTGGGTTTTTTGGAAACATATTCACAACAATGTAAAATTCCAATCAATTCTTTTATTATTGTTAAATATCAAAGTTCATGTTCTGATATATCTGTATGTTATTGATATTTAATAATTTCTGTGTAGCCAAAATATATTTGATGTCATTTTTTATCAAAACAACATAAATCTAAAGTATACTATCATAGAAGTATGTAACAAATAAAAATATTAGGTTTTTTAGTATTTAGCTTACTCGTAATGAAACTGTTAATTTTTTTAACAAAATTACTGGCATAGGGCTCTGAGGAATTATTTTCTTCTGTTATGTTATGAACCTAAAATGCCTATTTTTTTAACTTTATGCACGGAATTATCTTAAAATGGCCGGTTTTTATATACTGCTTTCTCTAGTAGTCAACCCAGAATTAAATTTTAAAAATTTTACGTATTTTTTTTTTTCAATTTAAACATTAAAAAAATTAAATTATGATATATTTTTAAAGTTCTACACTTACACAAGAAAAAAGTTAAATTAAAAAAAAAACAATAAAATAGTTCAACTATAATTAGTAAAAAAATATTAATTAAAGTAGATGTAATATAAATAGGATATTATAAGGATAAGGGAATTCAATTGCAGTATTAAGATGAAGCAGAAATAATCGTAAAATCATTATATACACATATGTATGTATATGTATTTAAATTTTCTAGTAGAATCAATATTGGATGGATGATCCAATATTCTATTATATAATCATAAATATTTGGTAATTGTCTTCATCATTTTCATATTTCATTTCCCAGTGTTCCATCTGCCGTATTCTAGAAAAGAAAATACGTTTTTAATTCCTCTTAATTGGTTATTAAAAGTAATATTAATTAATATTTTACCTGGTGGTTGGTTCACTATGATCGTGGTCCCTTTATTTGGGTTTTGGTATGGTTGGTTCGTACCTGCAAGTTACATACAGGTATTGTAAATAATTGTCACTAAAACTTTCTCTTAAAGTGTAATGTATGAAAATGAAGATTTTCTCTTCTAAACTCTTAATACATCGTGTTCAATCGAAACTAAATATTAATTAATTAATACAATATCAGTCTATATATTCTTATGCTTACTATTATTTTTTTAGTTTCCACTTAACTGTAGGTTTTAGCCCTAATGGCTTTGACAGCGTCACAAGGAGAGGTCCATATTATGTGCTAACAAAAAATACAATGTTTGTCATCCGTAAATAAAAAAGTCGAAACTGAAGTTACTTAGATATACTATAGAAAGAATTCATAGGACACAGTTTACATTGTAGGTACATACTGACAAAATCATAATATTGACTTCAAAACAAATTTTATTACATATTAATTACCTAGTTAGTTTCTAACAACGGATTCTTAGTGTTATGTAAGAACTAGAATAAATAATTGATAATTATATCAGTATTCTCATAAATTCTGAATGGTTTTATTGCGTCCACGTTAGTACGGACTTCAAGAACGAAATTTGATATAAAAAATATCATTACTGTTAATTAACAGAATGTGGAAGATTATACCAAAATTAAATATAAATATTCATATGCCAGCTATTGTTCGGTTTCAGACAATGTAGGACACTTTTTCACCTATTACTTCATATCTCACTTTATATTGACTAAAATTAATTTAAATTGATCAGGAACGCATAAAATTATTAAATATTAATTATCCTTACCCCCATTAGGTACAACTATTACTGTTTGATCCGAGGATTGAGCCGGGTAGGTCCCTGGAAAAGACGAAACTTTACGATTTCAACCTTTTTCACCCATGATGATACGAGTCAAAAAAAATGAACAATTTTAAATTTTTTTACTCATATGTTAACATGAAGCGTTAAATTTATATACAGTATAATTTTGTTAATAGCACGTTTTATGTTTTTTCGGGGTTTTTCCTCTTTACCTAATCCGCTATAATATCGCTGTCGAGCACTCGTTGAGATCGGAACGTAATAATTATCGTCGTATTGCTGTAAAAACAAATACCAAATTATACACTATTTTATTACGTCAATTTGTCAAATGGCGTATATTAAATAACCCTATATATGCTTAGTTAGTTCTTGATTTGATGGACATATTGTTGAAGTTATAGTTAAAAATATTTATAACTTACGTTTCTTATACTCGATGTGGTCGTATAGCAATTTTGTAAGAGAAATATTATAACAAAAGTATAAAAAAACATTTTTTTATTAAATTCCCCACAATATACTAATACTGAATATGTCTTAAATGAATGATAAATTTATATTTTACATGTTTTATATATACCATCCTGCAATTTTCCCTTATCTTAAATCTTTGCGTTGTTTATTATTACTTAAGAACTTTAGTTTACACTATTAAATGAAATCCGTAAGCCCTTTATAATATTCTAAGCATATTTACTGGAATGTTTTTTTTTAAGCTGATAACATATCTTTTTACCTTCCTAATTCCACTTTATTAAAAATGATTAATAAATTTATTTAATAAGTTAATCTTGTCTATACTTACCTTTATATAATAATTAAATTTATTATAATAATTATACGTATTAAGTGAGTTACGAGATAAATTTTCCTAGAGTTCAGAGTAATTTTTTTGTATGGTGAGTTCGTTTAAGAAGAATTTAGGTTTAAAATATCAAGGTTTATTAAATGTACATATGCATATATAAGTAATGTCAATAATACAAGTTAAAAGTTCACGAACAAATATTGAGACGACTGTAAATATGCAAACTATTGATATAACTTTTGTGATAGACACTAGGGTCTAAAATGAAACTAATATTTTGTGGATATACTACACGACTTTAATTTTGATAAAAACTACGTAGTTTTTACGTCGGGAGTATGTACTCCCGACGTTTCGGTTACTTTACAGCTGTCAGACCGACTGACAGACACATCTCGTCTGCCCGTGATCACGGTTGCTGTATATATAGAGGGTGACTGGTGAATTACTATCAATATTTAAGGAGAATACTCGGTACATGATTCTCATTCGAATTATGTAAAAAAAAAATAGGTACTTAATTTTTGACCAAATTTCCGTATAAATAAATAAAGTGTGGACACGTTCCAAGTGTTCCAAGTGTGGACGCGTGCGGCGGCGTGCTGATACAACACCACGCCGCCGCACGCGCGAGTGTGTGTGTGTGTGTGTGTGTATACCTAATCTGTAGGGTGTTCACACGATGCGTAATTAATTACATAACTTTTGGTTAACTTTACTTAGAAGTTTATTAATATTTATGTTATATTAATTTTTATTTTGTCATATATGATCGTCAAATATCACGTCCTCAAGTATCGATAGTAATTCACCAGTCACCCTGTATATATATGTACATATATACAGCAAAATATTAGTTTTATTTAAATGACTCGCGAAAATTTCAGATTTCTTTAGGGTCTTATATATAGATTTGCGTTATGGAGTGTTCATATTATATATTATCATATTACATATGATATAAAATTAATATGTAGACTGTATGCTATACAACATGTTACTTACTATGTAATTAATTAAATTGATCCAGCTTGTCGTCTCCGAGTTTTCTCTTGATCTTCTAGCTTCTGTAAATCCATAGAATTTTTAATTATTATAATTATGTTTAATTAAATTTTGTAATTATTAAATTATTCTACATTATTGGATATAACGAAACTATAGGATCATCTTGTAAACAAACGTGTTTACCTTCGACGTTCAACAATCTTGTTTGAGGCTTGTTTGATTAATAATAAAGAAAAATGTATAATTATTATTAGTCACAATTGAGGATTTTATTACTCAATAATATAATATGTGTAGAATACTTGATGTTATTATAAAGGATTTTCATCCCTACTAATATTATAAATGCAAAAGTAAGTCTGTCTGTATGTCTGTCTGTCTATGATGCTTTCACGCCTAAACCACTGAACTGATTTTAAAGAAATTTGGTACAAAGATAGAATTGACCTTGAGAAAGAACATAGAGTAATTTTTATCCCAGACTTTTGGAAGGTTCTCCTGGAAACGCGATATAACCGAACTCCACGCAGACGAAGCCGCGGGCGGAATGATAAAATATAGTTTTAATAAAATCGTTTTCTGGTTACTTATATAAAATATATAAATGTATATCTTCTCCATGTGAGAGGAGACCTTTGCTCAGCAGTGGGCTCTAATAGGCTGATGATGGTGATAAAACATATAAATTCAATGTATAAATGACTTACTTCAACGTAAATCGGCTCAGCAAACCCTTTGTGAGTATCAAACACCTTCGTTGAATTATCTATTGACAGTAACCTTACTATGGGGAAATCTTTAGCAGTTTCAATGACTCTTGCTCTGGGATTCTTGTTTGCAGCTAGTACCGGCGCTATTAGTAGAACTTTTTCTTCGTTATTTTGATAACCAAATACAATAACACAGAGTATTGATATATTAAACAGTCCTGTTAGTCGCATTTTGATAAAGTGATGTTGGAGTTTGTGAAGGCTTTATATATACATATAATTCGTATCCAAGATCACGACTTGCTGGATTCTTCAGTGTTCATTACGTCATTATCATAATCCTATACTTTTCAATAGTAAATAATATGGTAATGAGATATGTATATGTATGTTGATTTGTATATATTTTTTAATGAATGCAATCACAGTTTTTATTGTATTTTTGTATTATGTCCCGTACAATTTATTTTTATTCCGTCTTGACATTTTTTGTGATTTATAAGGACATTTAATGAGTGCAATTCAAAGTAGAGGTTAGCAAGAAATTATATGAAGTTTTTTCCTAAGAATAAAATTACATATATACACACATTTCAAAGTGAATTTGGGACACTTACTTTCTACTTTTGTTGTATGCGTTAGATATTTCTTATATTCTAAAATTATTATTAATATTGGTTCAGTACCTAATATTTTTTTGTATCATTCGTAGTTTTAATATGTATATTTTTAAATTATTCAAATAGCATCAAACGATTGCTTCTCTAAGGCTTTGCATTTGACCTTTATATGTGACCTTTCATATTTGAAATTATGACTTTAGAATATTATAATTATTCTTAACACCAATTTTTTATTTTATTTACTACTAGCTTTCCGCCCGCAGCTTCGACCGCGAGGAGCTCGGTTATATCGCGTTTCCAAGAGAACCTTTCAAAATTCTGGCATAAAAATTACCCTGTGTTCTTTCTCAAGGTCAACTCTATCGCTGTACCAAATTTCATTAAAATCAGTTCAGTGGTTTAGACGTGAAAGCGTAACAGACAGACAGACGGAGTTACTTTCGCATTTATAATATTAGGATATAGCTATTACCCAAAAGCTAATCGTGTTTTTTCCTCAATATCATCACTGATATTTATTAACTTTTTTTCTATCTAAATATATTTCTTAAGAACTGTTTATTGTCATACAAAGTTTTGTTTAAAGCTATTTTTTTAATGTACCAATTTTTTAATGTACCTATTATATCATGATCTTTTTGTATGTTTATCAAACAATTTCAATATTGATGCTAAGTTTGACGGCCAACGAAGAAGAATAATGAAATATTGACAGCATTGATATTGATTAATAAATATACTGCTAATTTTATAAATGAGTAAATTTGTGATAATGTTGGATGTATGTTTATTACTTTTTCATGCAAAAACTACTGAATGTACGTTGATAAAACTTCAGAATTATATAGATTAGAGGTTTTTTCCCGAAATGCTGTATAGTTTATGATGTATCAAAGAATAACAATTATATTATGTACTGTATCATGAAACATATACACGTATCGCTAACCATGAACTTAGCATAATCTAATGTCCAATATACTTTGATATTTCATGTTCACGATGACGAAGTCGAGTGCAAAAACTAGTCATATTATAAAACTGAATGAAAAAAAAAGGCTCATTAAAAGGAAGACGTATAAAATCAATAATTTATTTCTTTATATTTCCACACTCTTATGTTTAACATACATGTATATTTTATGAACAATACGCAAATGAAACCGGTTATAAACTTCGATTGCGAAATTCTCGATGATCGATTCCATTGCTGGAGATCTAAACAATATTTATATATCTTGTCATTCAGATTCATCGACGTATTACAAAAGAAATTGTTTTCTACATATATACTTAAAAAAATTAAACACATAATTTTTATATTGATTTGGAATTCTCCAGACTCTATAGGATGATATTTGAATACAAAAAACACTTCATTCTTTCTCTGAACAATTATACACAATATTGAGAAACGATCACTGTGTCGGTTGAAATTATTAGTTTTATTTCTTCAAAAACTATAATACACTAGCAAATAAAAATAAATAAGTAATTCTATCATTGTATTTACTTATAATTATCACTATGAGGTCAAATCAAACGTTTCCTGAACTTTAATCACGCTTGTTGGAGCTATAGCTCCAAGGTATTCTGCAGTTGATGTCATAGGATACGCTGAAAGAGCAGCGAATTGTAGGGTTATTTCACCAGTAGACAATGATGGAGTTGGCACAATACTGTGGTAGATGTCTTCAGGTAACTGTTTGGTCATTTGCAGAATACTTGTGGCTGTGATCTCTTGTAAAACTGGCATCTCAGTCGCTTTAACGACCGTTAGCTGTGGTGGTGGTACATTTTTCATATAATCAATAGTTTGAACTACATTTGGTCTTACTGGCGTAGGTGCAAAGAAATCACTTTGGGATGTAGTTTGTTCGATTCGCAACGGAAAATTCACATTTTTAACATTTCCAATATTAAAGAATGGTGCCAAAGACGGTTTAACCGTATTTGCAGTTTCTATAGGGAATATCCTCAAGCCTAACGCGGCGTTACAAAACAAAGTAATGGCTAAATAAACACTCATTATATATTATTGTTATTAATATAATTTATAAGCACGAAAGCACCGTGCGACGCTTTAAACTTGACTGCCTTATTTTATGATATCAACTCTTTGACTGGATGTGTTATGCAAAAATATTTTCCCACCCTTATCATGACAGGACGTAGCGATAGTATGTTAGCAATATTTTTAATTATATACATTAAAAATATGATTACATTTGCAACATTCGTTCTAAATCTGGAACGTCCATAATACATTTCTAACTTAGATTGATCAATATTATTGGAAGTGCTGACATCAAAAGCAGTGATGTTTTATCTCCGCTCGCTCATTTTGATGTCCTTGCTTAATATTCCAATTTCGTCTACAAACCAGAAGCGTTGCTGAATGGTTAAGGGCCATTTGTAATCTTCCAATGGTCTGTACATTTACATGAGTCATCGGTATGTCCAGGATATTGTCATGGATGCATTGTTCTGAACCATATTACGCAACACAACTAAATTTATTTGCAACGTAATTTATAGGAAAGATTTATTCTGAGTAAAGATGATGATTAGAAAGATTTATAACGTTTTCTTTAACGCAAAGTCGATTATTAGTGTTTCCATGAAATACTTATGACCTTGATAACGAGTAACTTTTCTTTTTTCTGCTCTTTTTATTTTTCATTTACTTACAAATAAAATAAAATAAAAATAAAACAAACAAAATATCGACCATTAAGTTTTCTAAATAGTTGAATTAGTATAAAATAAGTATTTATTATTTTTTTGTTTAAAAAACCTAGATTTACAACGAAAGTAATAGACTATCGAAGACACAAGTTAGTAAAGAAAAGATTACACATTATTTTTACGTAGAAGGTCACTTGTACCGGTTCTTATACTGGTCCTACTGAGGATATACACAAAGAAACGGGTAAGATGCAAAAAACATGTCTGTAATAAAAACAATAAATATTAAACAGAATAACACACACTCTTGTTTGATACTTGGATAATGCTTGACACGGTAGAAGTGGAGATATGGTAAAAGAACTTTATCAGTAAATGTATCTACCTATATTTAAAATAATTAGTACTAGGAAATATATAAAAAATCGGGTTATAGATTTGATACTAACCAGAATAATGGACATAATTATTATTAATTACATATGCACTATGGTTGTGGTGAAATTATTTTATTCTCAAATATCCAAATATCAATTCGTTATTAATTAGTAATGTTAAATATCTGTTTCATGGAAAATCATTTGATATGACAAATTTAAAGTCTTCATTACTGTTGTTTTAAACTTTTCCAATAGTTATTTATTACGATTAACAATGCAATGGTTTCTATGTGTGTGTACCGTGTGTTTTTGTGTGTGGGTGTAAATATACATATGTGTGTTGCGTTTAATCAATAGTTTTAAAAGCAATTTAGTTTTAATTTGTGAGCAAATAATTATTGTAAACCAATATCATATAAATCTTTAAAATATCCTATTGATGTCTTGTAATTTTGTAGAAACAAATCACGCGACTGACTGCAAAGTACATAGAAATTATGTTTTTAGATTTTTATGACGGTGGCAAAATGTTCTTAGAAGTGAAGGAGATATATGTTCATATATTTAGTGATTGAATTCTAGTCAGCATGGCATCTACACTTATATAAAAACATTAAATTATGTATTTACTTCCTATACTTAAAATGGCAGAAATGTACAGACATTAATGTTAAAATATCGCATAACGCCTTAAAGTTTTATTTATCAAAATCTATGTTATACTACATAATGTTTAATTACAACTAGGATAAGTGATTTTTAATCAGAAAACGATTGCTCTTAACTCGATGAGTGGTTATTTATTGAAGATAGTTTGTAAATCGTAATTAAGAAGGGTCCATTATTTTGAAAACCTTCTGCTCGGGATAAGTTACCCTGACCGTGTTTGATTATGAGTTCATTTGATTGATTTGTAAAGTAGATTAAAATTAGTAAACTATAGATTAAAATAATTTTGACTAGTTGGATATATATTCTTCTTAGGTTTAAGCAAAAACCAACAGACGGTCCATCTAAGAGTAAGTATCTGTAGATAGAAAGTTAAATCTATTTTTCCCTGTGAACCTTATAAGACAAGGCCCAAGAAAAAATTATAGGATGAAACTAAAAAAATCTCTATAATCTATTAAAAAAACGTTTTGATACAGTCTAACTTCTAAGGATGTGTTTAAAGTAGGTAGCCATACGTCTTAAAAGATGTCGAAATTCGTCGTCTCATGGCGAATATAAAGTACATAAAAAAGGTGTGAACATAGGTAGGCAGGTTGCTATTTAACTAATAATTAGTTATACGAATATCATCATTTAATGGGATCTATCATCTAAGATTTTGTCGAGTACTCATTTAAATGAAACTAATATTTTCGGATTTACTACACGATTGTTTATTTTTGATAATTTCTTATGAAATCAAAAGAAATCGATGGCGGTAGGTGATATAATAACAAGACCTACTGACAGACACTCACATCTCGTCTGCTCGTGATCACGGTGGCTGTAAAGTAACCGAAACGTCGGGAGTATGCAGTTTATAATCAAAAATAAACAATAGCGTATATAGTACATCCTAAAAATATAAATATTAGTTTTATTTGAATATCATTATTATATTAAAAAGAAATAGTAGTGATTTTATTTCTCTCATAGAGTTAATATTATTCAAAATTTGACATGTAATTTGTGACGTGAAAAAAATAAAAAGAATTAATGAAGTTTTCTTTCAACTGGAAAATAAAACATATTTTTTTAATCAATTCATGCCTATTTAAACAATTCATATATTTGAATCTTATTACTATCAGCAATAAAACAATAGAATGTTTTTAATTATTATTATTAGGTATTTATTTCTATAATTAACTAGTTTTTATACTAATAAATAAATAGTTTGTCAGTCAACAAAAACTGTAGTTGCAGCAAATACATTGTTCTATTGGCTCTGTATTAGCTAATTTAATATACATTTATTATATGAGAAGGATCAAAATATACATATATAACAAAACATACATGCTAAGATTGATACCAAAAAGTTGATAGTACCCAGTAAGAGATTTTTTCTTTTTTAATTGAATATAATCGATAACTTTATAAACACAGCCACCGTTTAAATTGATGAGTATTACAAAGTATATTTAATCATAATGGAAGTATTAAATATGTATATAAATAAAATAATTTCGATATATATAAAACCTCTTTAGTAAATGATTATATAACCTTGATGATTCTAATGACAGCTAGGTCTGATTGTCAGAATGTCAACCTCTTTATGTATCGCATACATTTATTTATAAACGTCTTTATACCATTCGACAAACTCCTTCGTGTTTCCACACATTACTCAAGATAAATAAAAACGTTGACATTGCAAAATATTTCACGATTCCAGTGCGAATGGAGCCTAATAAAAAATAAGTTAATTATGAAGAATTAATTAATTAGATACTAATAAAGCTAGGAAGTCATCGTTTCTAGAAAGCGGTCGTTTGAAGGCGACTGCGTTCAGGCTTTTGCTCCTGCCGACGAGATCAGGAAATGGAAAGCCAGGTGCACCACGATGCCGAGCGTCTAGAAGACCATTGCCTGAATATGCCTGGAATAAAAAAAGAAATAATGACATTGAATATATTGGAAATGAACTTATATTTCCACTAAGTAATTCTTAAATGAAAAGTTTGTGTTTATAGTAAAATAAATTGGATTAATTTATCGTATTATAAAAACATAATTATAAGACAAATCGAGAATAGTTTCAGAAATCTATTTCATTAACACGACGTAATAGAAATTGAACAAAATCTATTACATTTTAAATTATAATTACATACATGTTTATATAAATTGAATTTCAATCACATTAGTTTTCTATGGTAAGAAATAAATGATTTTATTATGTTGTAATTTCGTTACCAATAAAATTATCGTAATATACTCGTAGGTACATCGACTTAGCGGAGGTCCAAAATATCCTTCTCGAACCCGGATATGAAAGTTATCACTTGGCCTTAACATTATCGTGAAGTAATTTAGTGAGTTTATTACCATGACTCATATATTACTTTTTAATATTCGACATTATATACTGCTTTGTATATCGCCTCTTTGTTTGTATAGTTTCAAACAATGACATACAATTGAATAAATAGTATCTCTAGGGCACTACGAAGTAATATATTATACATATTAAAAATAATATTATGTATAATTTTGATTCATTAACTATATATGTAAGCCCTGGTTCTAATACAGTTGACAAACATTATAGACCATGACAAAATATACCATTATTTTGTTGTAACAATATTTCATTTCAATAGAGTTTTGCGTGGCTAAAATTGTAAAAAAAATACGAAAATTAAATTATAATAAAAATCTTATTATTATTGGAATCTCATAAAAATTTAAAGTATCGTAGTGAAACCAATGAAATTACCTACTTTAGTATAAATCTATTCGTAAATGAATTTATGCTTCGATGTCACACTAATAAAACTGGCCTTTACCATTAAAACGGTAAATTATTCCGAATTAAAATATCAAAACTGTTTTATCAATTAAATGTAAAGGTTATTAGATTATATTTAAATATTTAAAACGTTTTTTTACGCTCTAACGTTGTAGACTATGTTAATGATTACGAAATGCTTAGCATTCATATTTGATTATGGTAGAAATGTATGAAAAAGGAAAATATTTTTTGTAATAATACTGGATTATCACGACATTTGTATTCACAATTGCAAGAAATAAATGGTGTTCTATAGAATCTTTGCCACTTCGTTTTTTTATGTTAGGTACTCATTTCATTTACTCTTTTTTAATACTTCACTTTAATTTATTTTTTTGGATTTTTAGCGTTATATATATTCAAAAATAACATATTTTACGTATCAAAAAGAAGAAAATATCTCAAAAGTTTATACTTTACTATAATTTTACCGTAATCTAATTTATATTAAGCTATAAATTTTAGACTCACATCAGGTTGGAAAGCGTTCAGAGAATTGAATCCAAATGCTTGCGAGGCACTCTGACTTCCACTGAGACTGTTGTGACCTGGAGTTACACCAAAACTGTTGAAGCCTCCCAAGGCTGACGCTGAGGACGCAGCTCCTGACAGAGATGCGCCTGCGCCGCTGAAAGACGCTGCCTGGCTACTGGCTTGGCTACCACTGAAGGAACTGAAAGTATAATGCAAGGACTTTTATTTAAAAACTTCCAATTTGATGGGGCTTATTAATTAATGCCGTATTTTAAGACTAAGAAAAGTAACTCTATAAATTAAAACGTGCTCTTAGACCATTTTTAATTGAGGGTAAATTGATTGAATTAATTATAATAAATGCCAAAATTGTTATCTTAGAATAACTTACGTACCTTCCAAATCCATTGAAGGAAGCCGCTTGACTCGCAGAATGTGATGCACTGAATCCTTCGTTGAAGCCGAATGAGAAAGATTGAGATGCAGACTGACTGATACCAGCTCCACTCGCACTGCTGCTTATACTAGCACTCAACCCTCCGTTCCCCGTGGGTCGCACGTTAAAAGCACCATGCCCAAACCTGGGCTTCACTTGAGCCGGGCCTCTCCTTCCACCTTCTCCAGGCAGAAGCGTGCTAGGATCTCTTTCCAAATGCTCCAAAACCGGCAGAACCGGTGGTGTTATTGGATCTAATTTCTTTTCATGTCTGACCTGATCCGGGAACACGAACCTCCCCGGAGCAGCCTCAGCAATAGCAACGATTGCTAAACAACACGTGTAGATGATCCTCATGCTGTCTATTGGATAATGTTGATGTATCGATGTGTGTTGTATTAATAGGGTCGCACAAGGTCTCAAGCTGTGTTGGCATGCGGCCCGCGCCACAGCCTTCAGAAAACCCACTGCGGCGAGCCAGAAACGATGTCCTGTTCACTTCTTATCCCCCCTACAATTCTTAACTCCAGTATCCTTATGATAACGGTCGTATTGTTTGAGACGAATTTGGTAGTTGTTGATGAATCTTAGGTGCGATGTTGGGAAATCCGAATGGCCTACTTGGAACCTTTTACGGAGTCCAGCCACGTATTCAAATACGATCCAAACATATGATTCATTGCATACTTTGACAACACTGTGTTCAAAACACTTCTTGATTATTTGTGTCATTATTCATTCGATTGAATATTATAAAATAAAGACCAGATAAATTTTGTATCAATTTAAAAAGAAAAGATTTAAAAATTTCATCAAAATTTACAAAAGATATTTTAAGACAAAATTATTCAAAGTTCCCCTCAAATTTACCGTGAAATTAGAAAATCAGTTCTCTAAAAGGTGTATTGTAAAAATTATGAATATATTACTATAGCTATTAAGAACTAACGGTATTATATATAATTTATAAAAACAAGTCTAGAGATTCCATATTTTATATTTACAAATTATAATATAAGTTGAAAAAATATTTGTGTCATTTATTTACACTTGTTCAATCGTGTCAAAGTAATCCATATTAAAGTTAAATACAAATATGTAATATACATATGTATATTTATTTTTTTGTTATTTTTCGTATCCGCGTGTCAAATGAATTCGTTCATTACATAATCTCCAAGCCTGTATGTATTACGATATCTACAATTCCAAATACGTAAAAGAGTTAATATTTTTATATTCTAAATATTTCTCTATATAAAATCTATTAAATAGACATTCTTTTATAATAAGAAAATTTATTTTTTTATATTATTAAGAAGAGTTCACGTTAAGCTAGCATTAATATTATTATTTGATTTTCTAAGTCAAAATGACAGGTTATTTTTTAAACCAGATTGTCACCGAATGACGTCTCTATATCTCGAGGACGGCGTTACGTAACATCACACAAGCTGTTAATATGATGTATTGACATTGATTTGTAAACTAAAAGATACTTACGAGAAAATTATAAAATATTAAATGTAACTCATTGTTTGTATATCTTCTATAAAAGGCTACTACATTTTTTATTACACAAAATGTTTTGACAGATCTTTTTCATTGATAAATTTCATTATTATTTCTGATAATTCTTAGTATATATTTTTAAATACAATACATTTGCTGATTTCAATTAAATTGAAATATTTAAATGAATGGATATAAAAAAATTATCGAAGAAAATATTTACCTTTTCTGTCATGCTTTATTAATCCGAATACTTATTTAGAATGAACTTATGAATAACTTTATTAGTTAAACAAAGTGTTTATTAATGGTTTTATCACTTTATAAAACTATAAGTGACTTAACTAATGCTTTGTTAATAAAGTAAAGAGTACGTGTGTGTTATAAGACATTACATACAAACCAAGCGTCTCCCGTTCTTCATTCACGATAATTCCATGTGCGATGCTTTATGAATGAAAATCTCTTAAATATCCGTTAGTACCCTTATAATGTAGTATATATGTATATTTATATTATATATATTTGTGTTTAAAAGTTACTGTACCCTTCCACATTATGATCCTTTACCCAAAGGTTGCCTGGAAGAAATCGCTGCTTAGCGATAAGGCCGCCTGTTGCACCTCATGCAAGTTCATAGAACGAAAATGTTATTTTTTTTCAGTTTTAGTATAGGTGCAATAAAGAATAAATAAATAAATAAATAATTTTAAATTGGGCTAAGCATAAAGATTGTTATAAGTCTTAACTTAAATTTGAAACTATTCTACTTCTGTTTAACGTATTTTCGTTACAAATATCGCTCTCTTTCACCACTACTTCTAATTTAACAGCTCAGTTTAGTTATAATTTTTCTTTAAATTACAATAATAACATGATCTACTATAAAATACATAATTATTTGATTGATGCTCGATTGATTAATTGATTATAATTTATTAGATAAAAAGATGGTTATAGAATAAGAAAACTTTTTTTATAGTCACATTAAGCAGCGCAGTTGATTTTATCTCGTAATCGATCTTTGAAATAAGTGTAACTCAATAAAATTTCTATAAATCCCTTTCAGTTGATAGCTGTGAATGCGCAATGTCAAGTAGAAAGATTACCAAATATAGCTAGGGTTGTAGCTGAATACATCTTGTGTAAAATAATTATTACTAAAAGGGCTTAATAAATATCGTATGGTAATTAATTTACGTCGTGAGTTTATGTCTTCCTATGTTATTAAAGGACGCACAAATATATTTTACTAATCTGTTTTTCATTGTATTTTTAAGTCAAAATCACGATGAAATTGTACAAAAGCTTCCTTTCTTCATAATAAAAATAGAATAGAATAAAATGACAATATCTCAACAGGTTTTGTGACGCGTATAATATTTATATACAAAGTTATTAATCTTTTGACCTCGTATCATGAATACCAATTATCATAATTCAACGAGGCTGATATCTGGTTGTAAAACACTTATATACTATTATGGAAATTTCTTCAATTCTATATACATATATTCTTTGTGTATAAATTATATTAAATCAATATTTCCTTTGTATACATCCCTATCGTGATAAGAAAATCCGACAACCGATAAACCGGGGTCGCACGTCGCATGTCACGGCCAGACACACACACACACACATACAAAAGTTAACCACATGCATACAAACATACACATCATTCACTGTTCACACACAAATCGATTACTTATACATGTCGAAGTACACGTATCCATTTAATTTACATACATTCCTTAATCCGTTTTTCAAATATGTGCTTTAATTGCTGTCTACTTCAAATTTACTTCTATTTCTTATGAATTTTTTTTCTAGTTGCCATTCGCTAATATGTCGTGTCCAAAATTTTCCCGGTAGTTTAATAAACCTTAGTATAATACAGTTTTCAGCAAGTAAACATAATTTTCTGCTTTCACGACTCACAGAGATTTAACAAAAAACACACAAGAAATTGAATTGTCTTTGAAAGAATATATCTGATTTTAGTATTCCAAATCATTACGTAATAATGTACTTTGAAAATGAGTCTAATAAAAATTGTATAGAGAAGCCTTTTTGATTGAATAACAATAAAACTTATTTGTGACGACAACGTCTTAAGAATTTCACATTCCTTAAGTCGCTCTACATTTTTGTGGACTAGTTTTTGCTACGAATATATAACATTCATAAAGTGTATGCCATTTATAATAAAGTAATAAATCAACTTCATACCGAACTTCCTAAAGCAGAACGCGGATGTATATATAAATGAATGCCATAACAATTTTATATTAGCATATAAAAAAATGGGCTATCTTTCAACATCAGGATCATAACAATACCCTTTTATGTTAAAAAAGACGTATTTTCTCTTGCACTGTGGCATTGAACTAATATATTTCTTTATTATTTCTCAATAAATTGTTTTTGACTGGACTTTCCCATCTACATCTAAGAACAATCTAGTTTCGAGCTACGAAAAGAAATAGCAACTAAACAAGATAATTCTTCGACAGTGTTAAGATCACTATGACGTAAGGCAACAAATATTAAGTTACTAACTCATCTAGTAAAGTTACAAATTATGTATATAACATATTTAGAATTTTATAGTCTGAAAATGACTAAAAAAAATATGGAGAAGAACTTGTAATTTTTTTAATGCCTGAAGAATATATATCGTTCTGTAAATCAGTTGTTATGAAAATATAAAGCCTGTAATACTTGAGAGCTTTGGAAATTCACTATGTATTTATTATATGGATTTATTCTTATGGTAGGGATACACACTTCCGAAATTATAACAACACAAAACGGATGGATTCTTATGAAAAACTATTATCATGGCTTTTATTTAGCACAGAAAAATAATATTCTCAAAGTAATTAAATTTCAATGAATAAAAAGTAAACTGATAACACAAGTTCCACTAGAAATGAAAATGTTCCAAAAGACTAACTTCGACAATTAAGCGAGTCAGTATAAATTATTGTAAAACGTTATTAGTTTAACTTATTATGTACAAATGTAGCTCTTGAGGTACCGACTTTATCAGAAATTTATTAAAACATGAAGAATTCGGAATCTATATAAAATAGAAAAATAAAACAAAAAGTTATCTGATATAAGAATGGGCCGAATACATTTCTAATTCGTATTTATTGTTTAATAATTACATTATATAAAAAAAAATTGCAGTGAGATTTCTCGTACATATTTTTAAAAATTTTACCATAGGATTTATATAAAGATTATATATTTTCTTTCCTTATTCAAGTTTAACGTAAAAAATGTTCAAATACTTTGTAGTATCTTAATATAGATATGTTTTGTACATACATTTAAAGAAAATTTTGGTGAGTAAAACTATTCACGTAAAATATTTTTTTATGTAAAAGGAGCAGACGGCCAACTAGATGGGTAGTATCACTAATACTACTCCCACTACTAGTCCGTGACGTGGATGTTGCCAAACTTGGTTTTTGGCTGAAAGGCAGGAGTAGGAATAAGGAAATGGCAACCGGCTCTCTAGCTCATCGGACGAAACGCAACCACTACAGGCTACTTCACGCTGATCTTCTGTGAGAGGGTGGTACTTCCCCGGCCGAGCTAGCCCATGTTTCAGCTGCAGTAACTTGACTAGAGCTAGACCCTTTCTTCTACAGCAGACGATGTTTGAAAATTGTCGGACAAATTGAATTACTTGTAATGAGAAAAACAAAGATAATTATTTAATATTAAATAGATATAAAAAAACTGAAAATTTTCATACAAATTGAAAAATTTCAATACCTTTAATCAAAGCAAAGATAAGTTATTTGTTTATTAAACAGATATTAAACATTATCATAGTTATGTGACAGACGGAAAAATAAAGCTACTTCTGCATTCAATCCAGTTTTCCTTATAAAATACAATCCCAGTCAGAAACGGATATTATATGAATAGTAATCATAAAATGAAATATTTCAAATATGACTCAACATTTACATTTAATATTCCTATTTCAACATTTTTCGAAATAATGCTCAAATAACTTTTTAATTAAAAACAAATTTTTGATTAAATTCTCTTAAACGAAATTATTGTTCAGGCTTTACAATTTTTACAAAAAAGTTTTGTCTATTCTTACAGTTCATGAAAAATCATTTGTTCGTTTTAACTTTTACCTCTTATAAAAATAGCAAAAGCCATTTCGCTACACATATAAAGCGGTATTTCTCATGCATTTTGTTATCTAAAATATATGTTTGAAGAAAATATTTGAAAGATATATTAACTTAGATATTTTAAACCTTAAGACTATTTTAATAAAGTGAATGAAAAGTATTGGTAACATATATTACTTGACACAAGATAATGTGTTTCTTGCGATTTTTAATTTTGGCACCATATTTTTTGACACTCCAACAGATTATATAAAGTGGCGATAGATGATGGCTTGACATGAAATGTCATGAACGATAATACGTATTTTTTCTTTTTAATATTTTCAATGTTTATATATATATTTATCTATAACTATTATACTATATCATTTTACAAATGTATCCTATTTAATCCGATGTTATACCAGTTCAAAACTCAACAGATCTCGTAAGAATCGTTTTCCAATACATTATAATTTATATGCATAAAAATCGATTACAAAAATATTTCCCGTCTATAAGCAGATCGTTTGAAAATTTACACTAAGTACTTCAAGTTACAATTGTTCAATGTTTTCATGTACTTGTTTTAAAAGAATCTTAATTAAAAACGAAGTACTTTCTTTTCTTGTATTTCTCGATTCAATCTGTCGGTAGACGTTGTTAGTGTTTGTTCTTAATAATTGAATTCCTAGTCTTAATTTACTCACGCAAGCATTGAGTTATTTTAACTTACTAGTAATATTTAGTTTTATCAGAATAAATGACGCTGTCATGAAGACAAACCCGAGTTTTAAAACTAGTTAAAGTAAGTACATAAGAACAAAGATATTCAAGTTTAAATATTCGTCAAAATCGCAAAAATAAAGCAAAACTATTGAAATTTTCTTTAAAAATCTAGAATTATCACAATAGTCTCATTTTATGGCGTACACGTCATTGTTATATTGTTGTTTCTTACGGTCTTTTAAAAGATTCTCAGAACCGAGACACTCATTAGTCGCACTGTTTGAACAGTTGTATGAAAAACAAATTAATACATAAATGAAGTACGAATGCACAAATTTTCAGTACAATTCCGAACGTTTTTGATGTTACTGATCATCCACGATGATGGGGAAGACGTTATTTTTTATGATCGCTTTCATTGCGGCGTCCGCGAACGGTGAGTTGTATACAATTTAATACTTAACAAGCAATATACAATGTTTATATTTAATCATACACAATTAAGGACTAAATAAAATTAAATTTAATCTTAATAGAACATTCCCTATTGATGGATAATATGTAGTGTAGTGTATACTAATAATGAAATTGCGTATTGCGTGTTTTAACATATAGGAGTTAGTTTTATTTTTATGTGACTTTCATTTATAACATGATTTTTTCTTTTTGAATATTAATAATAAATTTAAATAGTTTTAACCATCATTTAAATTATTTTTACCATCACTATAACTAGTTTATTTAAAGAAATAAATTTTCAGTTTAAAAGATCAAAAACCAATGTTTTCAATTCAAAATTGCTTTAAACAAATACAAATACATATATTTATGTACCTATTATTTCCATTTTTACGTATTTTAAATTCTTAAAATTTCTTGATAAGAATTTGCAATTAAGATTTGTGATAAATTTCAAATATTCTTAGCTCAACTTCTTACCAATTTATCTTTTTTTTTCTCCTCTAAGTAAATATACTCTTTTTTTATTTACAGCCAGCTTCGCTTGGAGTTCCGCTGGAGCAAGGTAACCAAGATTTATTAGAATCAAGTTTTTACAATCTATAAACCTAGTTTATATTTAACATAAACGATAAGGGACAAAATAAAAAAAATATATAAAAAAATCAATTCAATATTTCTGGTACCTTTATTTATTTACACAGATGATACATTTTAACTCGATGGTAAGAAAACAAAATATCACTTAGATCCTTAAAATATAATTATGAATAATTTTATTTTTATTTCAGGGACGATGATAAGGTGAGTTGAAATATATAATATTATATTGATTTACAAACAAAACAATACAATATATATTCTTGATTATTCTCATACAATCTATAGTCCATATGAATGAATGTGTTAACTCGTTTCAGTTCCCAAAATTTCCAAACTTTCCACAATTCCCGAAGCTTAATTTTCCACCATTCCCATCCTTCCCTCCATTCCCTACTTTCCCTAACATACCATCAGTTGTAATTCCATCTAAGGATGCCATTATCAACAACGACAATCCCAACTTCAGCGGTATCCTCGTTAGTTCATCCAGTTCATCCAATATTGGACCTGATGGTAAAGTCCGTAAATCCGGTGGTACCACTGTCGTCTCCAATGACGGTGGTGTTGTTAAGGAATATACCAGTAAGTATACGTATAAGTAATATTAATCTTCATATTATAAGCAAAATTTGTAAAACATTTTTCTTTATAAACATTTAACTGTTTGAATTATAATGCCGTATTAGTTAAACTTAAATGGATGTTATATTAAAATATTATAGCATGATTTTAAATTATTTTTATAATTTTACAGTCGGAGATAACCCACCAGATCTGTAAGTTGATTTCCTAATAAATTAAGGCTCGCATATGTATTTTATTGATATCGAAAATAACGAAATTTTTAATACTTTGTTTCAGGTCGGTAAGCAAACAATAGACGACAGACAGACAAATACCAGTAGTATAAATATAAATCTCCATTATGATTATAGTTTACAGGTGATTATTAAATTAATGTCTTCATGCGTGCAGCCAAAGCAATAATTCACCTAGAGAAATTAGAAAAAGTTTTCACTCTCTCTATTTCTTTGCTGTAAATGTTGCTGCTTTTCTTGTTACTCCGTGAAATCATAAAAATTGTCGTTCCTAACGAATAACAGCTGTATATAAAACTTTCTAACTATTTACTTCATTTAATATCACGAATACTAATATATAACCTTTTTGCAGTCTCCACAAATAATCCTACCTCAGGTACGATCTATTCACATCAACCTTTGTCTCGTTTTAATTACGAATTTAAAAAAAACACAAAATAAATATGAAAGAATTAATTATCTTTATTTTTCTATTCGTTTCATAGTAATCATAATATTATTTTTAGATCCTTCCATGGGAACCGATGCTGCCACTGATTCCGGATCACCAACTTTTGAGGTCTTATAAGCCAACTGCCAATCAGCATTTCTTTGGAACTTCCTCGAACTCATTCATACAATCGAGCAGCGTTAACGGAGTGAGAAGTAACTTCGGAGCTAGCAACCTTATAAGTAATATTGATGGTGTTTTAACAGAAAAGAGTTCACATTTACAAACTAATGAAGTTTAAGTAGGGACCTAACAATAACAAAATTATTATCTTTTACTTCAACTTTTCCCTTTTAAAAATTACTTAATTTGTTGTTTTATTTTCACATAAATATATTAATAACAAAAAAATGCCTACTTTTGTTTTATTTTATCATAAACTAGCGATGTCATAAGAAAAATTTTAATAATTTATGTTTCTGAAGTATGTCTGTTTTTCAGAGGTAAAAACTGAATTGACAGAAAATAATAGAAGTTATTAATTTCCAAACACCAGTTGAAAAGTAGATAGTATTCTTTAACCTGATTTATTAATTCCTAAATTACAGTTAACTTCAACACAATACGATTAGAACATGTCTTTCATACTAAAAAGTTGAGCTGTTTGTAAAAAGAACCAATAAAATCATTATGTCCTTTTATTTCAAAAACTTAAACGTGATTAAAAAGTTAAAGGAATGAAATGTGTAAATAATTATCAGAACAACAAGAACACAAATTTTCAGTATCTCAAAATTTTCCTTCAATACAGGTACTACAATTCTTGAGAAAACAAATTGCTTTTAATAAACCGTAGGATGTATAAAGTTCTAAGGAAAAAAAGACTAGAACAATAGAAAAATATTTGGTGGCAATTTGAAGACTATATAATATAATTTTTTAAATAATTTAATAAAAATATATATGTTCATATTTAAAATAACAATTTAATTAAATGAATCCGAATTTTGAAAAGCACATTTATTAATACAAATAAATATAATGTGTATTGATTGCCTCCAAATTAAATTATGCTTTTTCCAAATATATAAGAAATCAATTAGAGAAAAAAAAGAGAAATGTAACAGTAAGAAAGATTTGAATAAACTCAGTTGATGCTGTATTAAGAAATTAATGATGAATTTCTATATATTTTTTGTTCAATTTATATAATAGTAAATAGATTATAGTAATAGATAAATTAGTAATAATAAATCGATAAATTAGTCAATCATTCAAAGTCACTGGGGCACAGTAAAACTCGAACGAGTTTATGACAACACCTTTGATAGTGTGTTATTATTGTTTTTATGTATTAGTTAAAAGAAGACTAAATTAATTTTCATTAATACTATATAAAGGCTGTAATTATTATAAGTAGTAAAATCCGTAACAAATGTTTTAGATCATACTTTTTTCGATAACTCTTTGAAATTAATGAAAATTTATGCAAAGGTAATTTTCAATACGTCTCGATTATTTTCATTATATCAATAAACATGATAGGATAACAATGAAAGTTAACTATTTTTGTTCTTCTATTTCTTTCCCTTTTGACTTTGTTGTATAGCTCTGCTTTGGAAACCTATTGCTTCATATTATATAGTCCATACTGTCATTTTGCTCTTTAAACTATTGAGGCGTTAATTATTGTTGTTTTTTTATTATAATAATAATTAATTTTCATAAAAGAGCATGTATTATTTTCAAAGATATAATTACAAAGATAGTAAGTTATTAATTATGTTTATTTTGGTCCAGTGCTTTTTTTATTGATGTTGCTGACAAATATTAACAAGAACTAATACGGGTTAAAAATAACGAGTTCACAACTAAAATGTTGTAAACTATATTTTTAAAGACGATTTTCTGTTCCAAAATTGTTTTTCACGTTGATGAGCAAAAACATCATAGTTAAATTTAAATGAAACTAATATTTTCGGATTTACATACGTACTCCCGAAGTTTCATTTAAATGTGTTCCCGCGAAAATCTTAGATATCATTATCATAGTTAAATGCCTACAAAGAATGCCATAATTAGTAGGTACATGAACATTAAAATCATTTCCACCTAATCTGCTTTATTTGTTTGTGTTGTACGTGATTCTTTCCTTTTTTCCTGACACTTAATAAAGCCTGGAAGACGGTATCATATGAAATTATAAAAAAATATCATGAAACTGAAAATATTGCATCTTCTTTCTTCTGTCCTACCTACCTTGATATTATATTATAAGAAGATATATTGATAAATGAATGAAAACGCTCCAAGTAATATAGACATGTCATATAGACCTTGTCATAAGGGTACATATAGTCGTTTGTTATTTTAACAAAGATTACGTATTATAATGTTCAAAGTCACCTTTAATGTTAGTAATTTTTTTAACATAACTTACAAAAGGTAAACCATTTGTAAGTTACACTAAGTCAATTCTTGATGAGCTGAAATAATTTTTTGAATAATTATCTTAATGACGAGTTTAAATTATTTTTAGCTAACATTTTTACCGCTTTAATTAGGTTATTTTTTCAATATTTGTGTGTTTGTATAGTAGCTGATATTGATTCTTTTTAAATTCGGCCTATATTTATAACACAACTTTAGTTTACCAAAAAAAAAATATCTGCTGTTATACTTATATATGTAACTATTGGTCGCATGTTAAAAAAATATATAATAAAGGTTTTCTTTGAAAGAAAAAAGAAAATAAATTAATAACTGACATTTATATTGTGTTATAGAATACATATCAAAAGTAACTTTTCGCTTGCGGTTTCATTCCAGAACCAAATAAGCAACTGAATTAATGTCTTCCCTGGACCTACCTATAATTCCTATGACCTATCTACCTACAAAAGTACACACATTTGACTATTAATAATACAAGCAAAGTCACTTAACATATCTAGTTAACCGAAAAAAACAGTAAATCCTAATGGGTTGACATTGCTACCTTAATGATTCCAAATAAATTTTACAACTAGAACAATGGTATCTCAAGGTTTCATTTCTTACTTTTAATATAAATAAACGAGGATTTTTTTCTAAAATCCAGATCACAGTGTCTCAAGACTTAAAGACAGTTGTAAGAACTAAGTATAATAAAAAGAAAAATAGTTTTATCTCTTTAAATTATTCAAAATGTTTACATTATCGAAGTTTAGTTTAATTCTCCTGTGTATCACTTTTGTGTATTGTGCAAGTTGTAAGTATTTCGTATTTTTAAATATTCACATGTTCTATATAAGTGTTCTTCTACCTGAAAATTTCCCAGCTATAGCCAGGGTCTGCTTTACATGTTGTGAATAGTTTTGGCTATTTGTTTTTACGACCGACCGCCTGCCTGATATCAACTCTCTTTTGGAAATCAGCATTAATCAGTGATATTTAATTACTGTTACAAAGTACATATGACTCGGATAAATCACATTGGTACTTGCCCGGGCCAGGATCGAAACCGCGCCCTTGTGCATCAGAGGCGAGCCTTTTAACCACTGGGCCACCACTTACTAACATGTTCTATATTTAAGTATATAACTTTAATTAAACATAATTTTGTGTAAAATCTTTCATCTTCATTTCAGTGGAGAAACGGGAATCTGCAAAAAATGAAATCATTGGGTAAGTTTATTGAACTCACATAATCATCAATTTATATTAAAAATGTTAATTTTCATAAAGATATATTTTACGTCTATCTAATTTTGAGATAAACTAATTTTCAGAAAGGATTTTGAAATAATAAAAATTAACAAAAGAGAAGCAGATGAAAGGGAAGATGTTGGAGATGAAGTAGATAAAGTAGATAAAGATGGTGAAAATGGGGAAAGAGAAGACGTAGAAATGGGAGAAGGTGAGACGCATGAAGAAGAACACAATGAAGAACGAGAAAAACGAAAAGAAGGTAAAGAAGAAAATGAAGAAGAAAATAAAGAGGACATTGAAAAAGATGAGGGAGAAAACAATAAAGAAAAAGAAGAAGAAAAAAATGACGAAGATCGTAAAGAAGAAGAAGGAAACGAAAACGAAAATGAAGAGGGTCACCAAGATGAAAATGAAGAAGTAGATGATATTAAAGAAGGCCCTGAAGAGGAGGAAGGAGAAGAAGAAAACAAAGAGGAAGGTGAAGAAGAAAAAGGTGAAGGTGAGGAGAAAAATGAAGAGGAAAAAGATGAAGAGGAAGGAGAAAAAGAAGGAGGTGAGGAAGAGAAAGAGGAAAAAGAAAAGGACGAGGAAAGGGAGGAGGGAGGAGAAGAAAAGGATGGAGATGGAGAAGAGAAGGTAAGGGTTTGTCTAGGATATTTATAAAAGAGACATCATATGTGTTTCTGAGTTTCTTCGACCGGTTCTTCTCAGGTCAGGGTATTTTCTTTTCCGAACCGGCGTGGTGGTAGTGTCTCAAGTGACCATCAATAAGAAAGTGTAATGCTTCTATACTCATATTGAATAAAGATATTTGAGTTTCAGTTTTTGAGTTTAGTTAACTATCAATACAGCTAGCAATAACTTACAGAAGGTGGATGGTAAAAACATAAAACTAACTGATATTTTTGTCTCGTCCGCTTGTTGCTGCACACAAGCTATGTGCTTTGAAATGCAAAACTTAAACGCTAGTTTTATCAAAAAAAAACTTAATATATTACGATATAAAAAGCTTAGAAATTTAATAAACACTAAAAGTACATAGTTGTCATAATTAATTTAAAAACATTTACAATAGAAAAAACTTGAAATTAATTTTACTTCAATTCAGACGTTTTAAAAATATATACTTTATGGCTTATACATTATAAACGATATATTAATTTTGAAACATTTTATTTTCAGATACAAATTTTGGAAATTCCTTTGTTAGTTCCAGTAGATATTGAGCCTCAATATGTATACTACCCAGTGGAAGATACGGTTCCTATAACTTACGTAAAATAAAAAGTGAAATATTGTCAAATAATAAAATTCCTTTAAATCAGTTATTAAATTTAAAAATAATAAAAATAATCGTCTATTTTTTATTCCTTAATTACTCTCTACTAACGTCTTGTCGTGTGAGTTTATTTACCACAAAAATATTTTAAAATATTTGAAATTTCTTGTATTATAATAATCAGTAGTATATTAAAATAAAAATTAATAATAATAAGAGAAAAGTGAAAAGTGGAGAACTATTGAAGAACTGTTTTATATAATTTTATACCATATTTTCTTATATGTATTATAACAATAATAAATTTAAACAAATAGCCTGGATTTGGCTTATTGATAGCAAGTATAATTCATTGTAACACTATTTAAACTTGTATTATTTTTGGAAAATACCACTTTCAAATATTATAGAGTTAAACAATATAATATAGAAAGGAAATTCAAAAACACATTGTTATTTTCTTAATATATTTAGCATATTTGAAAGAGACACTGAATAAAAATATACTTCAGTCTCACTTAATAAGTCATTGCTATCATCATCAGCTGCCTATTGATGCCACTGCTGAGCAAAGGCCTGTTCCCATATGGAAAACCGTTAACCACACTTGCAAAAGGCGGATTGGCGATTTCACACTTATATTTTAAAATTATAAGCACAGGTTTCCTCACGATGTTTTCCTGTCAGTGGTGTCCAAATACTTTTAAAAAGTAGACATGAATTGGAGAAATCATACATAGTAGTACTTGCTGGGCTTACGTATTTAATAAGTCATTAAATACGGATGTCCTAACACAATTAGTTGACATTTAACATATTCATTGAAATATAATTGAGGGTTTTCATGTGTAAGTTTTGTAATCTAAGTTCTTAGTAAATATACCGAATTTGTTCCAAAATGTTTATACCTACATGTCAATTTCTGGAAGACGAGTCGAAACCTCTTAGCATTTATTGAATCCACCATACGGAAGCCAGGTCCATCGCCTTGCAGGGAGAGGAGCTTCAACAGTGCCTAGGACTTGCGACCCAAGTGTAGGTTTAAGGGGCACCTATCTAACGCTCGTTAAACGCTAACCCTCTCCGTCCAATCTCCGTCCTTCCCCTACACAGTATTATTCTCTATTAATTAAAAATAAACCCTGAAATTAATGTTATCAACATTAAGTCTAAATAAATTGGAGCTAATATTAGATATCTTTTTTTTAAAATAATAATCTATCCAAGACGTATTTTCATTCCGACTGGATAGCACTCTAAATGTCAGCCTATGTCGCCTTATTTTTAAGGATAACGATTTTCGTTATGTAGTAAACTAGATATTTCAAATAAGCTAATAATACATTGACGTAATATAAGAACTTATGAAAGTCACAAAGCAAACAAATACAGAAAAATACTCTTTCATATAAAATAACTGCCTAGCTTACACAGCTGAATTGCCTAGAGCAGCTTTTAAATACTGTATACCCGAAGAACCATTAGTTTACCTTTAAGCATTTTCTGTAAGTTATTTCAATAAAAGAATACATGACGGACAGCAAATTTTAAGATGATAAGTTATTTGAATTTAGTTTAATCAAATTAGTGACCCTTTTTGATTATATAAAAAATACCTGTATAGTAACGTAAAGAGAATAAGCAACAAATAAATACTTTTGTAGCTATAACAAGGTTTTGTTATTGTAATCGTCAGAACTGTTTTTCACGTCTCGTAATAGATATATTGTAAATAATCAGTCCACTTCAAAGTACAAAAGTAGAGGCTTCGAGACTTGTTTACTGTACAAAAGAACAAAAATTTCAACCCACAGCTGACAACCGTGAACATGTTACCTGTCATAAGGATGACGTACAAATATATATTGTTTCATTTTATTAAGATGAAAATAATACCCCTTTATTTTAAAGTTCAACTTCTCGTTGACGTCAGAAGATTGGACGTTAGAGAGAATGATCTTAAATAATTATTAATGTTATTAAATTTATATACACCCCCTACACATTTACTGCAATTTAACGAATACTGGATTGATATGTATGTACCATATATGCATTACATCATTTTGGAAATGTGCAAATAAATTTTAACTTGATATTAACCAAACATAATTAAGAATTACTGAATGATGAAAATCATCGATCTGTTTGAGAGATACGATGCCATAGACAGATACACACACACGTACAGGCGCACGGACAAGCACACGGACATGCATACACACGCACATACACACTAGGTCAAAATTTTAACACCCTTCTTTTTGCCTCCTGGCTTAAAAATTTATTGTATAAGTAATTAGTTAAGTTAACAACTTTTTAAATTACATTTCTAGGAATAGAAATAGCTATAGATATTTCAAAAATATTATACATAAATATCCATACATTTCTACCCTGAATATAAATTGTGACTCCTATAAGGTAAAACAATTATCTTAAAAGGAAACAAATACACAAAAAAGAAAGAGCTTTAGTTAATCCAGAAGTTTGAGCTGTTAATGTTCATCGTTATTCCTGTTGAGTGTCATCTTAGTAGATATATTTAATTGAAAAACACTTAAATACTTATGAAGATAGGCTAATTACTACAGATCTCAAAGTCTAAAGGTTTTTTTATCGTCTCATAATATTTCATTAAATACTTATACAAACACTAGTCTCGAGAAAATTACATTTTGTTGACATTTAAGCAACAATTTTACTAGATCATAAATAAACAGCATATAAAAAAAAATTAAACATCCAAACTAGGCTATTTTGTGATAAACAAACAAAACTTGTTATATCACTAATATTAAAAGAGTAATTTGTTTTGAAATATTTTAACGTCGTAAAAGAAAAAGATACACAAGCTGTTTACATTTTAACTTTTAACGTAATTTTAAATGTATTACCAAATCAAATTAAACAAAAGTTTTAACAATTAATTCATCTGACAGACTTGATATACGTTATGGCGAACATTTTCAGCACAAAAGAATTATTTTAGTCCAATTATTATGATAGATAGATCTTGTATTCTATTGTATAGTTAACTTAGATATAAGACGCGTTGGTATCATGTCAACACATTCGTAATCTCACGTTGGACGGTTGTGCATCTCTATATATTAAATATTTTTAGCCGATTCCAATATTGAATATAAATATGTATAAATTGATAATTGTGTTTGTGGTGTCTGCTGCGGTCCTCGCTGAAGGTAGGTAACTGTTAATTAAAACACTTAAAATTATTTCCCTTAAAGATAAAAAGAGTAGCCTCATTTCTATTATATGAAATTGCGTTCATCATAGTTCGTTTTGGCGTAGTTTAATCTATTTGCTCTTTGAAATTTTGGTTTTGAAAATGAAATTTTGGTTTTGGTTTTGAAAATGCTTTGGACATCTCATTTTAAGGTTTAGTATATTATTTGTACATTGATAATTATCAATATTTTCATGATCGTACAAATCTAAAGTTGTTACATTATTTACCTCCTTATATACACGTTAATATTAATAAATATACATGTATGACACAGGTGTTAATCGATAAATTTGTGTATTCAACGACAAAATTAGATAGTAACTTGGCTTTTAAGTAAAAGTGAATATACATTTACTCGTATCACTGTCTGAATAACTAAATATCAATACATAGTAGGAAATATAATTAAATATAGCTTCAAGCATTTAAATTGAACTCATAATAGTTAATGAAGAATCAGGAAGACACCGCATCATGCAGCCACATACATAAATCACTATAACTATAAAAGTAGTTCTGAATTGTTTACCTTAATATTATGACAAAATATAATTTTGTGCGTACGACTGAATATGTCACGGCTAACTAGTTTTTTTCTCACATCATCAATTCTTCTATAACTGGATTTGATACAACAGTTTAGATTTTAATAATCCATAAAATATTTATAATTGTCACTGGAATTAAATGTTTGCAGGAAGACCGTCGCTGGCAAAGGAATTGGTTGAGTCAGCTAAATCTGGAAATTGGGATCTCTTTCACGAACTGTAGGTTTTTGTATCATTATATAATTAATATATTTATATAAGGTTAACACATAAACGGAAAACTATATAATAAATCCATATACCTAATAAATATTGTTGCTGTCATTACCAAAGTTTTGAAGTTAAAAAAAAAAACATTTGAACATTTAGTTGTCGTTTTGTAGGAATCGCACCGAGTGGTGTTAGAGACAAAACAGAATTACAATTAATTTATTCAGGTATAAGCAATATATTTTATAATATCAAAGATGAAAATCGTACACTAAGATAATTATAACAATAAATTTACTAAGCCTTATAAAGAGAGAAGTTAACTATTTAATAGTTTTAAAATAATAATTAAGAAATAGAAAATTATCTGAAAGAATTCAAAATGCAATGAAAGTATATAATATTAAGGTTCCTTTTTATGTTTCGAAATGATTCTTAAATTTGTTTTGGTTATATTTTTAATTGAGATTAAATATATGTAGTTTATTTGATTACTCGCTCAATGGGTTTGAACATCACTGTATTGTTTTGTTTGGTTTTTAAATTATATTAACACTCTCAAAAAAAAAGTAACACAGTAGATTTTTTACATTCCATAATTTATAATGGTTATATCACTAGTCCCTCCCTTTACCCTTTATTGTTTACCCCTCCTATAACCCTGTAATAACATGCGATGGAGAAATAATTTACTTTTATTGCGTTTTCATACATATCTGTATTTATTTTTCCAGTGTGAGACAGCAACATGCTCTAGCTGACTGGGCGGTACGTACACAACCATTATTCTGCGATTAATTCCTATCTCAAAACATAAATCTATGACCAATTTCTTGATAAAATTTCAGTTCGACTTCACCAGCGACGTTGAAAACTTGAAGCCTGTTGACGGAACAAATGTCAGCGGACATTCTATAATAGTCACCAAGCAATGGAGTGACGATGGAACGAATCATTCCGAACACGGAGAAGGAAGGGAAGTTATCAATAACAATGGCCAGGTTACGGTGCGTCGGTTCCAAATATAACATAACATAACGAATTCATCAAACATTAGCTTCAAATCGAGATGCGATGACCTCGTCTTAAATTATTAGCAGCAATAAATCAACAGATTCAATGTAGTTTTATAGAATGACGTGATTTATGTTAAATTTTTAAGTAATCTAGAGATATATCATATCAATGTAAGATTGAGAAGAACGCTGGTCTGTTAAATAAATATAAAATTGTTGCTCAAGACTAATGATTTTCCTCGTCTTAATACACTTATTATTATAAACATGCTATGAACTAGGCAATTATAAATTTATGTTTACAGTAAACGTAGTGTTGTTTATTTATATTTTTTTATTTTATTACATATATTTTAGCTCACTTTTTTTGCAACCATAATTTTTGTAATTGTAACTAAAATAGATTTATAATTGTAAGTACGCATACGTAAGTATACTTCTTGATTTACTAGAAAATATACAATGATATGTGAGTTCTTAATATACACATATACTAAATTATTACTAAAAAAGAATTAAGTGTTTAAACTCGGTATAATACAGAACGGTGAAGTCAAAAGCTTGGTATGTTGAATGCACTAAGTACGGGCCCTTTCCAAGATCGGGCAAAGTAAAGTAGATAAAATAATAGTTTATTTTTATTTGAATGTGATGAAATTTATTGGGGCTTTTTAAATAAAACACAGTAGAACTATTCGAAGAAATGTATATAAAATATCAATTAATTTATCAGAATGACAGATTTTTTATCAAAAGTTTGAAAATGCTGAAACCTGTATAACAATTCTTGTAAAAAGAGATGAACATATGCTTAATGTATTGAGATTAATTGTGTCAGTATTCAGAAATAGAAAAAGGGCAATTCAGCAAGATCTATTCCCAGTAGTCACTTGTCTGGTTTTACCCAAATCTGACATGAAGAAAACTAGTTAATTTAAAACAAGTACAAACTTCTCTTGTAATATGTATACAAATCATTATTTAATTAAAATAAGATTCCAGAGATATCAGACATAAAATCTTTTTTCTCATAGATAAAAGATTAGATTCTAATAGCGTCTTATATGTTTTAAACAAATGTCATCAATTCATTCTTCGAAGACAAGTAGGTTCGTTTTAAACTTGGTTAGGTAGTGAGAGGATATTGGACAGAGGAGGTGAGTTTTTAAGTCTCGTTAAATAGCAGCCTAAGGGGCTGCTATTTAACCTTCACCTGGATTACAATTCCCAGGCACTGTTGAAACTCCTCTCCCTGCAACGATGGACCCGGTACCCGCACGATGAATCCATTGAATGCTGAGAAGTATTAGTCTCGTCATCATCCATAATTTTATCGTATATACTTTTTAAGCGGAATTTTTTTTAATCCCCTTTGTCCCTCTTTTAAATTAGGTACATATGTATATACATAAAAAGATTATTTAATGCTTTGTATTATGGCATGACCATCAGTTTCCTTCGATGTCATTAAAAGAGATTCCACGTTATATATACGTCTGTGTATGTATAGTTACTTTTCTCATATGTAACTTAACCAGATGTTACTAGCCATCATTACAAATAAGCAAGTATTCAAAGCGTATTAAACGCTTTTGGGAGCCTGAGGTTTTATACCAAGGCCGGGTTATGCCTGTCGGGGCCCCTAGGCAATGCTCATCCAGGGCCCCCTACCCTCTTCTAATTTTTTCGTTAACACAACAAAATTCAAAATTACACCGTTTTTTACTAACCTGGGTATATCATCATATTATTCAATAAAAATGTTGAATCAAATGAACAGAATGTTTATTTATGCATTTAAAAAAAAAACATACATAGCTTAAATATTAACTCTTCTAACTTTTTTTGATACAAAATCGTTCAAGATATCCTGAAAGGTAATCTTCTCCAACACGTCATTTTCAATTGCCATTATAGCCAATGAATTTAACCTTATGAAACTAGCTTGGCCATAGAATATACATACTTGGTAGGTACCAGTATAGTAAGTGTGCATTCACAACAAAGAGTTTTGAGCGTTTTTAATTAAATTACCGCGATAAAATTGCTTGCAATTATATTACTGCGTTATAAACTTTTAAACTATAATAATAATATCTAATAAGGAATGCGTTCCGGAATGTACTAAAATAGCGTCGATGTAATTAATGTACAGAGCAAAATTTCAAATTAATTTTTTACTGTTTAAGAAACATTGCCCATTCTTTTCCCTGTAGCACAGGGGCCCCTGAACGTGGCAGGGCCCCTAGGCAGTTGCCTATAATGCCTAATGGATAAAACGGCCCTGTTTTATACACGTAAAGATAAATCTCTAGGATCATGGACTATATATTTTTATTGCTATATAAAATATGCTTAAAAATAAAGTGATGCAATCGTAGTAGTGGAGTAATTGATATTTTCATGAAAACTAATTAAGATATCTAATGTTTTACGAAATTATTTTAATACCATAATTATCATATTTATTAACATGGAAAGATGATTTTTTTTTTTTTTTTATGGCCCAAAGGGGCAAGCGAGCAGACGGTCTACCTGATGGTAAGTAGCTACCGTCGCCCATGGACATCTGCAACACAAGGGGTGTTGTTGATGCGTTGCCGGCCTTGTTTGGAAAGGAGCCACCTGAACACGTGATGTTTGAAAGACCCCATGTTGTAGCTCACTGGAAAAGCTTCGGGCGGAAGATCATTCCACATCCTGCACGTGCGTGATAAGAATGAACGCGACGCACGTACAGTCTTGCAATTGAATGCATCCAGGTGATGTGGATGAAATCCAACCCTACGCCGAGTAGTGCGATGGTGGAATGTAGAAGACGGCACTACATCAAACAGTTCCTCGGAACATTCCCCATTGTACAGACGATAGAACACACAAAGGGAGCTTACATCCCTTCGGAGGCCTAAGGGTTCTAGATCGTCTGTGAGCATGGGATCGTTGACAATGCGAACTGCCCGACGTTGTATGGAGTCAAGTGGAAGAAGTTGGTACTGTGGGGCACCGGACCAGTGGTGAGAACAATACTCCATGTGGGGACGAACCTGTGCTTTATATAATAAAAGCAAGTGTCCCGGTGTGAAGTACTGCCTCGCTCTACTCAGTACCCCTAGTTTTTTAGACGCTAATTTAGCCTTGTCCTCCAAATGTCTCCGGAATTGAACGTCGTTCGCTATGTCAACCCCAAGGATCCCAATGCTCTGTTTAATTTTAAGGGGAATGTCCTGGAACGTTGGAGCTACAGTAAATGGGGTCTTTTTAGTGGTAAACGCGCAAACTTGTGTCTTCTTGGGGTTGAACTGATGATGTGAGTAACAATATATTTTAATATAATAAATATATATAACATACGAGTACATAATAATTATTATTATTTTATTTGTTTTAATCGTATTTATTTTATTTCCAAGTTTTCATTAAAATGCTTCATTAATAAAGTTAAAATTAAATGAAAATAATCTATTGTGTAATTAAAGGATTCAATATTGGGCACTATTAGATATTATATGACTAATAATTTTCTCCTATTATGTCAGCTATTAGAAGCTTTCAATTAGTGAGTCGAGGGTGTCTTTTATAAAAGGTTAATGTCATGGTTAGGATGTCAACTATCATATTGAAGTCACTTGTCGAGACCATTTAGCCTAGAATAATTTGAGGATCTATTCTTTGTAGCATTAATATACGCCTTCCCATTTATTGAAGCAATTGTGTATATAGACATAATGACTAAAAATATTAAACTGTAACCTTTTCAATTCTACCATTAGACGGTTTTCAAAGTGATCATTATTTAGGTAAAGAATTAACAAAGAAACATATAATTGACATCAAGAAGCAATAACAATTTATTTCTTCTGATATTATAGAATTAAAATAATCCAGTTTCAATTTTTTTCTTACACATTTACATTATCTTGATCATGTCAAATTAATTTTTTTTATAATATATTTGTTTATTAACAAAGCAATATGAATGAGTTTATGTTCATTTCAAGAAAACTGCATATTTTTTCTGTTATATACTTTAATATGTCAGTAGTCTTCCTAATGATTCACTGACTAATGCTCACATCGTGTCCACGTGATCGAAATTACCCACAACAAAGTACAAAACAAACTTTAATAGAAGATTAAAATCAATATTACGAATAAAATATATATTAATGCATTTTCATGATTGCTTAAAGAATAAAGGAGCCTATTTGTTGTGAGCATAAATTTAGCCTTATTTAAATAAGTAGACGTCAGTATTAAAAAACTTTAGTGAATTTAGTGTTTCCAAAAAGTTCATGCTTAGTCTAAGTTAGTATATCACACTACACAAAGTGGTAGAGCCTAGTTGTTGTCAAGTTCCTACAGCTCGAATATGGGCTGGCTTGATCGAGGAGGTAGAACACTCGCACAGAAAATCAAAGTGAAGCAGTTTTTTATGGCTGTCTTTCGTCCGATGAGTTAGAGAGCCAGTAGCAATTTCCTTTACCTCTCCGTTCTCCCTCCCTCTTTCACAGTCAAGATCGGAATGCATCCGTATCATCATATACATCTCGTATGTTTCAAATGTCCACGGGTAAAGATGACTACTGACCATCATATAGGCCGTCTGTACGTTTCTCATTTAAAACAACATACGAGTCTTATTCTGTCTCTTATACAATAACATACGTTATTAATATAATGTACAAATTTATGAATGAGAAACTCGTAAATTCAATATGTAGCATGAGGGTGCTAAGTTGGATTGCATACAGGTCCTTCCTTGATCCGACCACGGCAAGAACTCTTTTAGTCTTTGGAGATGTTTAGTTATAATTGTCTGCTATTTTGTATGAATAAATTTAATCATTTATCTTTATTTCAAGGTTGTATAAAAGAAAATTTGATTTTCCTCACTTCTTGCTTCTTCAATATTCTAAATTTTTATTACGTTGTTTATTTTATTACTTGGAACGTATTTTACTACCTTTAGTCGACAAATGCTACGATTGCTATAACTTACTTCAGGTATTTTATGTATATTATTAACTACACGAATATTTCTTTTTAAATGACAATAACTTTATACTAGTTCCATAGAAATGAAATCAAGAAACCTTTATTTTTTCGAAAAAACTTCTACAGTTGCTTTTGAATCGCTAAAGCGGAATATTTATTTATAGAATCCCTAAGCTTATGGAATACAGGCATCATAAGTGGACATAAGACACAGGTAAATAAAATATAATACATAAATGACTTTCCTTAACCATAAAGGTTGCGTTTGCAAACATTTGCTTTCAATTCGGTTTATCCTAACTCACAGAGCAAAAAGCATTAGATCAATAAAAGTAGCAATCCGGTTAGATCATCGTGATGTTTTGTTAACGTTCGTGATACACGATGGTGTTATTAATTGCATATAATTATATATAGGCATGAAAAAAATATACATTACTCTGATATACCTAAAGATTTTAACATTTGAACGAGAAAAAATATAAAATAAGGAAAAATTATGATTATCTCCGTTGAATTCACAATCATTAAACGTATGAGATTTAACAATATAAAATTATTAACGACATATAAATATGTTTTATATGATTTATAGATAATATATGTATCTGTAAATTATCATATGTACTGTTACTCAGAGATAAACCTTTCAGGAGTAAACAAGGTTAATAATGTAGTCAAGTAACTATTATAGCCTTAACTATCATAAATAGCCTTAAAATATCATGGTATTTCTAATTTTTACCCGCACTATGTTAACATTGACGTCAATAAAGCAAAAAGGTGAAAAATATGTTCTGTGTTCACGATTATGATTTAAATAAAAAGGATTGTTAAATAAGAGGAAAGAGGTTTTATTTAAATTATCAAATGTGACGAAAGAGGTATACCAGTTTGAGTATGAAACAAATTTTATAAATCTTGGCATAAAATATTAAATTTTGTGCCATTATGAAGGTCAATTAATAAAAAAAAATCAACAAATAAATTATTTTACCAAAAAGGATTGTGCCAAACACTATTGGTTTCAATTTAATGTCATCTTTTATAGTTTTTACCCAAGTTAAGAATTGAAAATAATTCTTCCATTAATATGACATATTTCATATATATTTTATTGTATTATAATAATATTTTATTAAATCCTGTACATAAATAGGATTCTCATAGCTGACCTATACATATATTTCAATGATTTCACTTATAAATCTTGTAATGGTTTTGTTTTATTCATAAGAAACTTAAAGTGTCGGTATTAAATTGACGATCCAAGCTTTAGCTAGTACTGCTTTATGGATGAATGTATGTATGTATGTATGTGTGTGTGTGTGTGTAAATGTTTTTCGTTTCTGTGAACTAGTTTTAATATTATAAACCGTGAATCAGTGATGTTGTTAACTTTATTACTGATAACAAACTGTTTAAAACATCGATTAAATATGAATCACTAAGTAACACTAAAGTGTGAAAAATTACTCAAACATATATGTTTAAGCATATAGCAAAAAAGGTAAACTTATTTCATTACACCCCATTATTTTAGTACAGCCTTCTTCTTTATTTCACAAAGGAAAAATTTATATCCATATATATGTATGTATAAAGAAAGGAAACCCTTTTAAAAGCCAGTCGTGTAAAAAAATACAACCAAAAATATACAGTATAGAATGGCATAACTATACATAAATTAATACAAATGAGTATATTATACGAAATTATAGGAGAATTAACGAAAGATTAAATAATACCTAAACATAAAAACATGGTCCGAAATAAAAGCGTCTTTAACCAATTGGTTCCATTAAGACAATTTCTATTTGAAAAACTTTTAGTTCCTAAAAGAGATTAATATATTACCTCTCGTTGTTTACTCTTTATTACTTCTTTATATATATATGTATATATTATATGTATATATACATATATATATACAGGGTGACTGGTGAATTACTATCGATACTTGAGGACGTGATATTTGACGATCATATATGACAGAATAAAAATTAATATAACATAAATATTAATAAACTTCTAAGTATATATATATATATATATATATATATATATATATATATATATATATATATATATATGACCTTGTTATAGTAAAATTATATATTTTAATTCAATAAACAAAGTCATTATTTACAATGAGATATATATTTTTTTCCTCCTATGCTTCCATTATTGTATTTGGCAAACGTGATGTGGTCAGGTAAAAAAGGTGTGTACTGTCTATAAACGAGAAAAAAACCTAATAAAAAAGTATGAGACTTCTTAGAAAATAAAGATAAAATTTAAGTTTGTTAGTATTTGTTTTTAATATATAAAAAAACAATTTAAACATTATGGTTCTCATATTTAACCGAGGATCTCAAATTGCCGATATTATATTTAACCCATCCCTAAAATTTTCTATAATAGTATCAAGAGCCATAAAAAGCAAGCCTTTGTCACGGGTCAATCACCTCAACCAAAGTAAACAAAACTAGACAGACAAAGTCGGATGAAATACACACGTCATATATGTATAGTGCATTAAAATTAAGTCACCAATACAGTCACCTTGAACTTACAATCAGATAAATTCGTATGTACATATTTTGATACCGATGAACGCAATATGTAGTACATTTAATTAATAAATTTAAAAAAATCCTATGGGTTATTAATTTATATGAATTTAAATTACATTTGATCTATGCTTTAAATTAGTCTCATTGAGAAATTAGAAAAAAATCAGGTGACAACTAACCCAAAAATGAGTCAAGACAATTAGTGCTAGGAAACTAATAGATCCCCATTATGAAGGTAACACAATTATAGCCTTTATCACCTTGACTTTGATAACATAATTGAATGTAAGGGACGTGTGATAAGCAATGTGTTTTAGCATTTAATAATGTGCGATCAGTTCCTTTTAACATTAAACATCGACCATTCGAAGCAGAATATCGTGTTTGAAGCTTGTGTCCGTGAACAAAACAAAATGAAGGTTCTAATAATAAGTGCTATCCTTTTACAGGCCTGGTGCAATGGTGAGTTTATTTATTATATACTTATATCAAATAGTTTCTCTTTCTTCTTCTACCTGGCAATTTCCCAGCTTTAGCCAGGGCCTTACATGTTGTGAATAGTTTTGGCTAATTGTTTTTACCGACCGCGTGCCTGACATCAACCTTCTTTAAGAATAACTAGTTTCTCTTTATTACGATTAAAATCAAAACAACAATTATTATTCTCATTTCTCATTAAATATCAACAATATGTTTCAGTACACCATAATATTATATGTTAATTGAATATTCATAAGGATGTTACTCTTAGGATATAAAACAAAACAGAAACAAATCCTTTTTGGATATCGGTATGCGGCTTGATAGCATTATAATTATAACGACGAACAAACATCGGGTAAACCGACACTTAGATTTGCATTAATTTTTTTTGTGAGACAAATAATATTGTGTTAGAATTTGACTGTGTAAAGAGGACGTACGAAAAATCTATAAAGAAAAACAGGGTAATACAAGTTTAACAATATTTTTTAATATATTAGAATGAAATAGAATATACATATGTGTTTTTTAATTCAATCTATACTTAAATGTAAATAAAGTCCAAGCGTTTCTCACTTATTCTTGATAGTATATTATGTATAATGTTTGTTCAATTAAATAAAAACAATTTTAATTCTGCTATATTGATTATAAATAATGTGTATATTAAAAAATAAATTTAAATATATTTCTACTCAAAAAGATAGAAGAATACTCAAAATAATAAATGAAAAAGATTAATTGTTACCACATTTATAAATACCCTCGTGAAATCATCATAATATTGTCTCGATTGACGTAAACAAAAAAATTTTGGCCCATTAAACTAATTATCAAAATCATTTTTATATACATTAGATGGGTCGTTAATAAATAATTATTAATATACATAAAGTATACTAAGAAAAATTGTATGGGAAAAACCCTGATTCAATGTTTGATAATGCAATTAGATGTGGTTTCCTAAAACATTGTTATATTTATATACGTATTATATCCAAAAAATATATTTTCCATTTCATTCTTTAGTATTTTCTTCAATATAAATTAGGCTTTATAAATTGTATAGTATTTAGACAACTTTGGCAGACGGTGAAGGTAAACATCGTGAGGAAACCTGGAATTGAAATTTGAAATCATAAGTTCTCAATGTGAGAAGAGGCCTTTACTCAGCAATGGGCTCCGATAGGCTGATGATGATGATAAAATTGTATATATAAACCTTAGTTACATTTCCATAAGTACTAGCCTTATCCAAATAATTAAAAACTCATAAACTTTTTTATTTAAGTCAAACAATGTACACTCCTCGTTAAGTTACAGATTTCTATGACAATTTTAATATATATAAAACTCATCATAAAATAAGTAAGATATTAACAAAGTCCGGGTTCGCATTCGAAGTAGGTAGCATTCAACAACTTTTGCTGGTACTATATTAAACCTAAATATTAAAAATAATTTATTAAAAGTAAGGTGGGTTGGCATATTCGTTAATTTTGCTAAAAATCTTTGAAGTATAACAAAGGGAATCTGGAGAGGTAAAATAAGAACATAAAATAAAATATTGCGTGATGAACATACTTAAATATTTTAATTTCTTTTTTATTTATTAGTAAATACTATGACGTCATTCTCCATCGTTTTACCCTCATACCAAACTTCATTAAAATCGGTAAAACTTTGAACCGCGAGACATAGTTTATTTCTGTTAATATTATTTAAAATCAGTTCAAAATTCAAATTCAACCGTAAACTAATATTTATATAAATTATAATAATATACAGAATAACATATATTTTCGTTCATCTATTATAAACCGTAACCATCGTGGAACAAATAAATTATAACGCTTTTACATTCAAAACTAAATTGATTTCGGCACTTATATTATAATAATATATAAATATTAGTACATAAATAAATATTAGGAATAATGTATATATACATTATTCAACAATATATAACATAAAAAGATATTTTTTTAATTGATTTTACCAAAGAATAGGTAAAACATAAATATTTCGTTTCATAAAGGATATTTTAAAACAATAATTAATTTATTTAACAATTCTTCAACAAAATACTTATCTTTAAAACGAATAAAAACATATTTCTAGCACTATAAATATTTACCTCAATAAAGTAGAATAAAATAAATATATAACAAAAGTTTATCAGATTTATTTGTATGTATAAAATCAAGAAACCCATTAGAAATTATTTATATTTTAAAGATTATCAAAATTGCCAAAACAGTTGTCCAAATTTGGAAATATTTGTGATGGCAATTAAGAATACAACAAAAGATTAATTTGAAAGTTGAAACTGGTTTTATCCGTTAGGATTTTGGTGAAACATAAATTATTGTTATAAATTTTTAGATAAATAAAATTGTCATTCAAAATAATTAAAGAGTCGAAAGTTTTGAAAGGAATCGACGACTTTTACTAACTATTAGACAAGCTTTCCGATATAGATTAGATTTTTATCATCAAAGTACAATTATTATAACACTTTGATAAAATAAGATAGTAATACAATAACGAGATCTAAGATTTTCGGGAGTATTCATTTAAAAGAAAGTAATATTTTTCGGTGTACTACGCGATTTTTATTTTTGATTATAAACTTACATACTGGTGTTATTTCGTTTATTTCATTTAAGATAGTAATACATTTATTTTTTATAATGGAAAGTTATTAAACATGTACCAACTCTGTCAAGTTACGAACCGGTCTTTTTAAGCCAATTTATCATTGTAATGACATTACTATATCGTATTTTGAATTACATAATATCTGTTACATTAAAATACATCTTTAAATGTTTATTCAATACGTCCGGAGATTACGAACGTCCTTCCCGTCGGGGGTCAAGATTAATTAGCCAGTATTGATAACAATTAACACACACAATCCGTCATATGAAAACAGTTTCTTCATGATCCCTACTAATATTATAAATGCGAAAGTAACTCTGTCTGTCTGTTACGCTTTCACGCCTAAACCACTGAACTGATTTTAATGAAATTTAGTACAGAGATAGAGTTGACCTTGAGAAAGAAAATAGTATAATTTTTATCCCAGACTTTTGAAAGGTTCTCTTGGAAACGCGATATAACTGAACTCCACGCGGGCGAAGCTGCGGGCGGAAAGCTAGTTTTTCATATCGTACGGCTCTGGTCACTGTGATCACTACTTACTATTTACAAGCCTAAAAACAAGGCTAAATAATTTTGCTTATTTATTTATTAACAAAACAAAAGAAATACAGCTAATTACAATGTAGAAGGAACTGGTTGATTTATCTCCTGAGAGAGATCTACAATAAAAACTCTTTAGATGTTTATATATTGAGTTCCAGTTGAAAAGAAACAGTTTAAATTCTAAAGTAAATAAATTTATATATGCTTTTTATGTATATTTTAGAAAAACATCAGATTTCATGATCAGCGTTTGATCGTTGTTCTTCCATTCGACTAAGTATTTATTTAAATATAAATTTAAGAATTTAATATTGGAAAAGAAAAAGTAAAAAAAATCTATATACTTACCTTTTATTTACGTCACATTTATATTAAATATTAACAAATAATAATATTGAGTCTACAGTTTCAATTATCATTTTAATCATGCTCCTCTTAAAATTATAGATTTTTTGTATTAAATTCATGTTAGCGTAAAATTAAAAGTTGATATTTATTTGCTCGTTGGAATAAGTTCAACGGCACTTCGTAATAACCGGCTACTTACATCTCACTTAGAGATTTGATTTAAATTATTATCATACTAGTTTTTGCCCGCGACTTCGTCCGCGTTAGTTTGGTCAAGAGTAATATATGTAGGTATAGCTGACCAGGCAGTGGTGGCCTAGTGGTTAAAGGGCCCGCCTCTCGTTGCCGAGGCATTTCGATCGAGGCATTTTGTTCGATCCTGGCCCGGGCAAGTACCAATGTGATTTTTCCGAGTCATATGTACTTTCTAAGAGTATTTAGACATCACTGATTTATGTTGATTCCCAAAGAGAGGGTTGATGTCAGGCAGGCGGCCGGTCGTAAAAACAAATAGCCAAAACTATTCACAAACATGTAAGGCAGACCCTGGCTATAGCTGGGAAATTGCCAGGTAGAAGAAGAAGCTGACCAGGCAAACTCTATTCCGCCTCAGAGGCCATAAATAATCAGGTTTTTCATGTTTCAATCAAACAGAATGATTGACATATTAGTTAGTTGTCAAATCTAATGTCAAAAAAAACGTTTGTATGGGAAATAGAAAAGGGCTGTTTTTAGGGTTTTCCCAGCAATTATTCCAATTTTTCTCACCTTTTAAACCTTTCCTGGACTTCCAGGAGTATTTCAAAACTAAAATTAGCCAAATCCGTTCAGCCGTTCTCGAGTTTTAGCGAGACTAAGGAACAGCAATCCATTTTTATATATATAGAAGATAAAGATCATTGGCTCAAGTTTTGGAAGCTGATAAATGTAAAAACAAGTCTGGTATAATATGTTTTAGGATATAATAACTTCTAGTAATACAATGAATCCGGTACCATATTATGACCTTTATACAAAGAGTATTTGTTCTAGACGAAGTAAGAATAACAAATAATATGGAAAAACTATCATAATTTAGACTCAAAGACAAAGAGAGCCGTGCAAATATCTACAAAAAAAAATACTAGTCTCAAAGATTTTTTTTATATATATATGTACATATATTTTTAAAGTAATGTTCTTTTTAGTGTCTTTTAATTGAGTACATTGTTAGCAATTACGTGAGCAAAAACCATATGTATGTTAGTAAATATTAAAGTATATAATATTATTTACCTTGACTTGAATAATGATATTCATAGTTTTCAATAAATAAAACAATTCTTGAACTCGTTTTATCTCTTATCAATATATAACAGTATTTTAATTGACCTTGATCTTAAACATTAATTAGTAAATTCTATACAATTATTAAAAACTAGAAATGCTTATACTTAGTCAGCGGTGGCCTATTGGTTAAAGATCCGCCTCTCATGCTTGAGGGCGCGGGTTCGATCCTGGCCCGGGCAAGTGGTAATGTGATTTTTCCGAGTCATATACACTTTCTAAGAGTATTTAGACATCACTGATTAATGCATTCCCAAAGAAGGTTGATGTCAGGCAGGCGCGGCTGGTAGTAAAAACAATTAGCAAAAACTATTCACAACATGTAGGCAGACACTGGCCAAAGCTGAGAAATTGCCAGGTAGAAGAAGTGCTTGTACTTTCAAATGTGCTTATATCTTTTTTCATATAAGGTTCTTCTTATATTAATATCCTCTTATACAAATGATAATAATACTCAAATTCAGTATAAACATGATTCATTTACACAGCTTTATAATGCGCAGCAATATTCTATTAGTCACGTATATTTACTAACAAAATGACACTCAATCGCGATTTTTTCCAGTTCATTTATCGAGACTGTAGCAACAACAGCATTTCGAATCGGGAATTTTTAATTCATTTCATTATTCGAATGTTATGTTTATGTCGTGTTAAAGAAAAAAATATTATTATTTTAAGACTTAAGTGTATCAAGACAATAAGTGTTGGAGTTAAAGGTATATTTAAACATGACTAATTCTTGTAAATTACTTCGTAAGTTTAATTTTGCTGTTTAAAGATGAGCTTAAATCGTTTTATAAAACTATAATTTCGTATTGAAATGAATTTTTAAACCGACCTTTAAATTAATCGTCAAAAAAACCATGTCTTCAGAAAGATCAGACATAATATATGTTTGGAAGCAATTTTTGAAATCATTTTGATTTATTTTATATAAATTATACTCTTTAAGGCAAAGTTTTTGTAAATGATCTGGAATATTAATGTGTTGATAGATTTTAAGTATCCGTTATAATAATTATCATTGAATGGACAAACCATAAATCTAATGATCATTAATATTTTAATTGTTGTCATCATTAACTTGACCGTCGTAAATCATTATTATATCTCATTAATGATACAATTTACCTGAGCATTATGTTTTGTGAAGATTTTTAAGTTATTAGTTTGATAAGTTATCATATATTAGTGTTATAGTTTTAAAATAAGATTTTTAATAATCATGTTTGCTTAGTTTAGAGATTTATATTAAACTAGTTTTTGCCCGTGACTTCGTCCCATGTTTCATAATTAGAAATGTATATAATAGCTCAACGGGTGACGCGACGTCCAATCCCCCTTAAAGTCAATAGATAAAAAGATTTTGGATTTGATCAAATTATTATTATTTTTTTAGTTGGATAAAAAGTATCATAAGAACTTTCCCTTGTAAACTATTACTCCACCAATTTTAACTCAAATCCGTAAAGTCGTGCTTGAGCTATGAAAAGTGTAACTAACATGACTTTGTTTTAGATATAAAGATATGAGGAGAAACCTAATAATATTAGCTAACGGAAAATTTTTGATTTATAGTGTTAATTTATCACTGAGAAGTATATATGAAGTTCCTAATATAATATTATTTGTTACAGCATACCCAAAACCCAAAGGTGTAGCGTCATACGTGTACAGTGACACAGACGGTAACAGGTACGGGGGTACTTACGATCTGGGGAACAACATCGCCCCATTCAGCGACCCCATTATAACGTCATACAGTGACCCCTACGTCCCTGAATTCTTTAACAACTTCGGCAACATACTTCCACAGTAAGACCAGAAGTACATGCTTGGTACTATGGTGATGGATTGGTGGTGGTATTTGTGTTCGACATCATGTTAAGAATTTAGGGTTGTCACATACTTCTAGTATAAGATCAAATACACTAAATAGTAAACTAATTTAATGCATGTATAAATATTTTTCTTGTAATTTATAGCGCTACAGCCCTAGCAAGGACGAAACGGAGAATTGATTTGACTCGTTTGCGTTCTAGGTAACATTAACAGAGTGAAAAATGTTTTAAAACACGTCTACTCGTTACTTATCTGTTGGAGACTAACATTTTCAAAACTATCGCTTTTAACTAACAAGCTTTGAAACAATTCCTTTGCGTGCTGTCACAATTCCTTGTATTACAGGACAGGTTTAAAGAATCAAAGGCCAGCGTTGTTAGATCATTCGAGAGCTTTTGATCATACGTATAAACGGGGAGGATATAATCCCTCTTTCTTTAGGTTTCCGTTCGGAGGATTCCCATTCGGACCATCTGCCTTCAACATGAATCGTTTTGGTGAGAACGCGGCTTTCGCCAGCTCGGCCATCGCACCGGGATACAGACACCAATCAGCCATTATAAGTCCAGCGAACGCCGTAAGAAATAATATATTATTATAACAGTGGTTCAAAATAATAAATATTGCAGCTTAATATTTTTGTTGTATACATATTACAGACCATATTAAAAAACATTTATAAAAAGCATTCGGTCTTAAAAATATAACAAACATACAATTTTACATTTGATTTATTAGTTCTTAGTAAACATTTATGTATTAATGCTCATAAGTTGCGGTTTCATAAAAACTACGTATTCATTTTTTATTCTCTACAAATATTATATTATAATATGCAAAATGACTTCAAAGATTTAAATTTCCAGGAGATTCCGAACGTGGATATTACTGACAGATTTGCTGAGCCGGCTGATGATGGAAAATTCTACAGCGTTTCCAGCTCCTCGTTCGCATCCTCAAACAACGATAATGGAAAAGTATCAGGTTTCAGACAAGCAGAAACTGTTGTTAACGACAATGGAAAAATAACCAAGTATAGGGTCCATAACTAAGTAATTTCTCAAAGCGCCGAATATTGGTAGTTTGTATTTATGTATCAAATAATAAAGTTTTATAATGAGGCTGTGATTCTCAGATATTAAATGTATTAAAACAGGCGCTTGTCAATAATAAAGAAGTATTAAATTTCATGTGTATTTTTATTGACATCCAATTATGGTAACGTGTTCTCGATTGTAATATTATGTACAAGAAACTCGATGTTCATTGTGAGGAAAATAATTCCGATATGGTAAGTTATTTCAAGATGTACAATAAAGTGGCGTGGAGTATAATCGTATTGCTCACACACTGCAGCCTTTACAAGTCAAGGTTGTTTTGATAGCATCATCATTTTTTGTTGGCTCGTAATAAATTTTGCATCACAATGGAACGATTTGCTTAAGTTAGTCATAGCTCAATTTAGCTTGGCTATCTTGCCATCGATTTTTATTCTCGGTGTAGTGCTTTCTATTATCCAGGAATTGCTTCTTGGGATGCATCCTCTAGGTCCACTTAATTCCCTGCATTTTCTACAGTAAAATTCTCTCACACCATCGTCGTTATACCCTTTATTGGTCTTCGTATAATCTGGTCTATATCTATGAATGTTGGTGTCTTGATTCCACCAGTTTATATTATTGTAAAAGCTCGATGGCTTGAACTGATTCAAGCCTATATTTGGATAGCGATCGTATTCGTCTCTCGAGTTTCTTCTTATTGATACAAAATCTGGATAAACTGTTGTCTTAAAACGAGTGTCCGGGGTTCGAATTTTTGTTGTTTCAACAGATTTATAAGCTGACACAACTGGTACTTCACCGCTGTCATCTTTCTTAGAGTTACTCATCCCTGGCGAGTGCAAGAAACTGCTCGAGTCATCTGAAATTATCTTAAATTAAAATTCGTTTCTTTTAATTAAACTTTATTAAGAGAAAACTCACCATTAGTATGTATTCCTTTACGATTATTATTCCTCAGCTTTGTGGACACTACAATTGTGTGTTTTACTTCAACATCATCGTCTTCCTTACTAGAATTGGTTACCACAGACGCTTCTTCCTCTCCGAAGTCAAGTTTGGATGTCACTCCGTAACTTGCACCAATGAAACCTACGAATTAATGGGATATGCAATTAAAACTTTTCAATTAACTTCAAAAGAAGATTTTAAACGTTATTATAATATTTAAAAATATTCTTAAATTAAATGTCTAAGAAAAATACTTAAGGAAAATCTGTTTCACTAATTATACCATATATACATACAACTTAGAAATACATACTACTTAGAAGTTTAGAACATTTAAGAGTAGGATATTTTCTTAAAATAGTTTTTGTCTAATTTGTCTCAGTTTCCTTGAATAATATGGATACAAAAACCTTCTTAATATATTTTTCAATGACATGTGTATATAGTAAAGAAAAACTTTATGTGTCATACTCTTTACGTATCTTGAAATAAATATAACTTAAACTAAAACGAAACTAAATAATAACTCCAGACACAGAAACTCTCAAATGTTTATATATTCAAATAACACTGTGAAATAAATTAAATTATTATTCGCTTAATAACTAGAAAATAAAAACTGTTTCTTACAATGATGTTACAAGTTCTATTTTATAAAGTAAAAGTCAACATTCTCACCCAATGTTAAAAGGAGTACAGACAGCGATCTCGTCATGTTTACGTATCAAAGAAATCAAAGTCAAAGTTACGTGTCCCCACGTTTTATATAAACAACGCAAATTACACTAAATGATGTCGCAGAGGAAGTAAAGCAATTACTTTTGAACACAAGAAGATATGCGATATTTTAATCTAAGTAAAAAATCTTGTTTTGTACGTATAACACAGCTGTAGTACATACTTACCTTAAAATAATTACCGCTCAAACAGATGAGTAGTAGGATACTTGTTAAATAGCGTTGAAGGTAAATGACATCAAAAATCTCGCAGTAAACGTGAAAGCTGATATTCCTAAAGAGATCTGTTTATTTTATTTAATAAGAAGACTGTTACTGAAAGTGCATTAAGTATTTATCGGAAATCTTAGTCTTTAAAATATTTCATTATAAACTCTAGCAATAGTTTATAATTTACTAACACGATGTAGACCATTGTCTTAAAAGTTACTCTGTCATATATTTGAATTATAAAATAAACGTGGTTGGCATTATTTTAATTGCTAAATACAAAGCTATTTAAAAAGACATTAAAATTAAATAATATAACTGCTTTCTTAGCATTGTTCTTTTATTATTATTATTATTCATTGAAATATCTAAAACATATCTTATTTCACATTACCATCCGAAAAAAAACCTATACTTAGGTATGCCGAAAGTTCTGACAATCAGTCATTAAATTATATTTCAGTAAAGGAAAATATTATAAACTAATAAAGTTGCTGCATTTTCACCAACATAGGTTTAGTTATACATACATTAAGGGTCATTCGACAAATGCATTGTGTAAAAGAGTAATGATCTTTACTCAAAAGACAATTTATTATATCTATTTATTTAAACGCCATCTATACTTCAACACTAAAACTATTTCAAACACAATAATGTACATACTCGGTCGGTAAACACCGCCATCTTTTGGTATTTATTATAAGCTAAATAGAACACGTCATTTAGGTAATGTTTCCTATTGTCAACAAAAGATGGCACTGTTATTGAATCAAATAATGAGAAATTTTAATAAGGAACTACAAATCTTTCACAATACTATGAGAAATAAACCTAATAACGACTTAAATTTATTATTCTAAAAAATATATATGAGAAATCTATGAACTGTTAATTAGCCTTATTTAATAACGCCTTTTATAATCAAGAATTATATATTGTAGTAAATTATTTTATTTATTTATTAAAAAATAGTCCTTACAGTACTATTAAACAGTTATCAGAAAACGATACGATACAATCAACATGAATAATGCAAAAAGTAAACCGCCCAACGTGGGGCTCGAACCCACGACCCTGAGATTAAGAGTCTCATGCTCTACCGACTGAGCTAGCCGGGCTTGTACCTACTCAGTGGAAATTATTAAACATATACAGAAATATATGTTGTTTATAAATATAATTATTTAACATCTATTATACAGTGTACAGTATTACTTTAAAACCAAAAACAACGATTTATAATTTTTTATAATATCTCAAAAAATAACCAATTATTCTAATTGAAGGGCCTTTTTAAAAATTCAACAACAATAATATATTTTTGATATAAAAAGTTCAGTAGTGAATATATTTTAAGGCAATTACAAATAGCATGTTATATTAAACATAGAAGCCTTATAGCCAGCCTAAAGCCAGTTCTAGCTAAGATCAAAGCCGGCGGCGACTTAGCTTTGTGACGGATGTCATCTTGGATACAAGCTTGTTGACATGTGCATATTGCACTCGCGATCAAAGACTCAAATACTACTACAGACTCAAAGCCTCCGGGCAATGTAAACATCCTTTACTTTACTGACATATACATAATAAATACATAAAAAGTCGTTTTTAAAATCATATTGTAAAATATCTATAGGTAATTTGATGTTCCAAATTCAAAAAAAATCATGACAGTCAAAAAAGTAACTTTATAAAATCATATTCGAAAATAACAAATCTTGTTCCAAATTCAAAAAATGGTAATTTTGAAAAAATGTATCTTATTAAAATCATATTGTAAGATATTTCTAATTCGACGTTCGAAATTCAAAAATCATAATATTGTCAAAAAAGTAACTTTTTAAAATCATATTGTAAAATATCTAATCTAATATTCCAAATTCAAAAACATTTTATACATTAAAAACAATGTTTCTATCTGCTATCGATTGATTAGAAGGATGCTTGTATTAAAATTATTAGTATCAGAAAATATGGCGTACGTTCCCAAAGTATGTATGATAAAGATACATTTTGACATGAGCACAGGTAAGTTATGTTGTCATGAAGTAACACGAGCGACGCTTTCAAATTACTAAGATACGGCGCTGGTCCCAGATCGTTCTCCCGGACCTGTACAGTCGCTGGGAAACGTTCTTTATTTAAATTTATGAAATATAAAACTACATATGATATAAATGAATTTAGTGTTCTTAATTGTTTTAAATTACATATTAGTAGCATACTTCTGTTTGTTTTATATACATTGTTGTTTTATTTTCTAAAATATTATGAATAAGTCGTAATGGTGCCTGTGTACGAATGTACAGTCGATAGCAAAATGCAAATGGCACGCGAGTCGCAATCAGCAGAGTGGGAGTCCATTCCCAGTTATTGCTGTTTTGTTTATTTGTTTATTTATATCATAATGGGTGACTTAGAAAATTTTCAGGACATTTTGTTAGTGAGAAATTAACTATATTTAAAACTCCAAAGAACAGTTTTACAGTTTACTACTAGGTTAGGCTTCGTTTATTTCCGTATTATTTTGTTATATTTATGGCCTATTTTATATAATAATTAATTTTATAAATCGATTCCTTTGTTATAAAATTATCTTTAATATACTCTCCTACGCGATTAAATCCAATTAAATAAATTCAGTATTTGAAGAGCCAAAACTGCAAAGACAGACCATTTCCTCTACACCTTGGCTGAACTCCAAAAGCTGAACAATAGAAAGAAAATGCATTCTTAAACATTCGTCCAAACCAAAGACAGGAATAGGCTTTTAATAGTCCAAATTTTTAACATAATGTTATAAAGACGAATCGTTTGTAGTAAAGAAATGCAATAGATTAAAAAATATGTATTTTTTTTTCATTAGCCCTTTAAATTGGTGTAATTCGTAATATTATTGAAGTGAAGTTCTTAAGAAGACTTGGGTAAGCAAAATAAAAAAAAGACAAGATTAAGAAAATACAATTATGTCACATTTAGTAGTTCTAATTACAGTTTCAGTTGTTACTTCCTTACTTGATCCTTGTAGTTTTACAAAGCGTATGAATATAGTATTTACAGTTTTGAAATACAGGATTTTTTTTTTGTAAATTTTAAATAAATATTCACATTATGTATTCCCTAAACAAAAATAATGTCTCAAGTCTTAAGTGATAAATATAAGCAATGTGTACCCAGCCTTAACAGATATATACATATACATCAAAAGTTTCTATGACATCGAAATTTTCATAGCAAACTACATAATATGTGTACATGATAAAAATTGCAATTTCCCGCTTATTGAATTCATGACATTTCATTCGACTCCATTTCATGAAATGTCAACCGGAATGTCTTGTGCTTCACATCGACATTTTATAAATAGAGCTGTTTTAGAACGAAAACAGAAAAAAATTAGATAATGTATGAATAAAACTAAATGTAACAAAAATATTGGAGCCAAAAAATATTATTTTAATATATTAAAAAGTAATTATAAAGCTGCTACTAAGTAGTTAGTTTTAGTATTGTATTATTACAAGTTACAATTTATAAACAAACGCATATTTCTTACATTCAATATTATTCATCCCTTATTTCTGAACGTTTGACATATGTCAGTTCAATACAAGAGCTATTTAAATATACAATAAACTCCAATAAATAAAAAACATTGACATTCCCGAACGAAGATATAGCATAGAAAAAAACTAAGATTATAACTCAATAAAACTCATCAACTAAACAAGTATGATAAATTTAAATTATAATAATAAAAGTAATTTATTTTATAAAAAACAATGTAAATAAAAACTGTTTACCTTAAGGAACCCATGACAGACGCCGACCCGCGCTTATAATCACGATTGTGTTTAGATAATGTGTAATAATAACAAAATAACAAAATAAACGACTCGCTTAATCACCTCATGTCAAAATATTAGGTGCACCATATATATACATTTTGTAGGATATGTGTATATTAGTTTGTTCTGAATTTTAATTCTTTATTATTAGTTAATATTTATAAAAAATTGAGTATGATATTTGATTTAAATTTTGTTACTATAATTTTATATTATCTGTAGCAAGTTTTTTTTAATTTCTTATTTAATGATTATAAAGTCAAAAATTGTTAAAAATTAATTTATGAACAACATAAAAACTAACAAATATGTATACAATATTTTATCTATAGCTTATTATTTACAAATATGTACGAATTTAAATGAAACTAATATTATCGGATTTACTAAGCGATTTTTTTTATTTTTGACTATAAACTAATACATACTCCCGACGTTTCTGTAAAGTAACCGTGATCACGGTCAGGCGAGATGTAAAAAACGGCGAGAATTAAAAAAACGCGTACTAAATCCGAAAATATTAGTTTCATTTAAATGAGTACTCGCGAAAATCTTAGATCTGAATATGTACTAATATAACCATGTCCTCAAAAGTCTCAAAACATATGCAACCGACTTGTCACTTTAAAATTCAACATGACGGCCAAGCGACTCGAAACTTGAATGTTGATATGTTCTATAATGTATGAGAGGTTTTAATTTAAAAATATTATTCAAACAGTTGTGATTCATCAAAAAATATTAATAAAATAGAAAAATTAAAGAATTCAAATTGTTCTAACGTTTCAGTAACTCTGAGTAACTTGCTGAGTATAATTTACTTTAAGTTGAGTATGAATTATTAACTTGTTCAGAAGAGAACTTCAGACCAAGAACCACCTGCGTCAAACCACGGTCAGATGAAGCTTTGGTCATAAAAAATGAGCTCTATTACTATGTAATAAAGTTTATTTTAAAGAGCGTTTTGATGAGTATTTTGTATAGGTAAGTCTTCAGAGTATAATTTAAACTTGCTTAGATATTAATATAGGGATAATTACGACTCTTGGCATTGAGTGAAATGTAAATATATATATGGAGATATAGACATAAATATATATGTATATTATATTTTACATTTCTTGATTGCTTTTCTCAATATTTCGTAACTCATTTTAATTTCAATACAATCTTCTTTCACTACACCTTTAAATCCTCATGTTTCATAAATATATAATTCTTATTGATTTTTCTTTAAGACATATAATAATTAAATATTTCCCATTTCTAATGATAATCACAAAACACTATTGAATTATTGGTTCTTCAACGAATTTCCTAACAAATATATACAACCATATTTAAATATTGTCCTTTATAAATGATCGTCACATTTTTTTTAATATCTTAAGAGATTTCCGTCATTAAAGTCTTGAAACACCCCCGTACTATGAAATTAACTTGAAGTCGTTAAAACACAACATAATGGTTTTTTTAAGCAAAAATGTGGCTTAATAACAATAAATTTGGGTTTACATTACAAATTGATGTTCTATATATATATATATATATATATATTAGCTTTTGCCCGCGACCCTGTCCGCATTAGTTTCATGATTAGAAATAAATAGCTGAACAGGCGAACTGTTACGATTAAGAGGCAGTAAATATATAATTTTATTAGCAATTTTTTTTTGTTCGAAAGAATTCAGAAGAATCATATGTCCCTCTCCTGATTCGAACCTACCCCCCCAAAAAATTTCAGCCAAATCCGTACAGCCGTTCTTGAGTTATAAATAGTGTAACTAGCACTACATTCTAATATAAATTTATAGTAAAGAATACATAGTAAGTAGTTCATCCAATTATAAGTAACTAGCTAGGTTATTTTGTCATTATAAGCTCTGTTTGTTTAAATAATAGTTCGTTTTAATTTTTAACAAACACGAGGCGTAGTATTTACGGAGTGATTTTCTTCGTCTTCAAATTAGCCCCTGGTCGCTAGTAGCGAGTTCCGATTTAAACGGTTCAATGTTTCATTATAATCAATTATTTCTTTTTCGGTATTCCGGTAAAGTAACATTTTTTTAACAGATATTTATTTAAATCTATCATTTTATATGTAACCTTAATGTTATTTCATAAAAAGAAATTTATCCACAGATAAAATACTCTTTACTAATCTGTTTTATATTTATGTTTAACTATTTTTTACCTGTTACGAAATGGGTTAAATATTGAGTATTTATAATGGTTTATTCAACAAAAAATACGTCTAACAAATAATAATAAAAAAAAAAAATTGTAATATAAAAACAAAACAATGTTCATTGTATTCAAAACAAACAAACTGACTGACAACTGTTACTTTCGTGACAGTTGGTGACAATAGATTATTTCTATTTAGTTTCTGGCTCAATCCGTATTTATTTTTACAATAGAAAATTTTTTTCTATATATTTTTTACGAATGGTCCGTTTCATTTTTAGGAATAGAAAATAATTTATTAAAAACTATGAAAACTATTTTTATTTGTATAACAAATTTTGTTAATAAATCCGTAGAAAAATATTTTTATAAAAACGAAATAGTATTTTATTTTTTACTTAGTTTATGTTTTAGAAATTAATATGGTAATGGTTTTGCAAAAAATACACACGAAATAGAAAGGGCTATATATGAGGAATAATAATTTCCGACTATTATGAATGCAGTTTTCTAAAAGTGTCATTGA